GATCGGTTCTTGATAAATGCAGCAGCTGAAATCGATCTTCATTAACATGTCACGCCCTTAAATGTTCGTGGTTCAGAAGCCTCTCCCACTGAGGTCAAACATGAAAGAGGAGAAATATTAGAAAGATTCGAAACTTTCCGAGCTGAAAGTGGATATCCGCACATCTGTGGTGGAAACTAACAAGGATTTTCTCTTTGGAAGCATCAAAACTGGTATAAAAGCAGACCAGAAAGCACTGCCGCGGAATAGCGGACAGTGGCTGAAGTTTCAATAAATCATTAGTCAATAAGTTGCTCATGATGATAAATTAATATCTCATACATGCCTCATATTTGTTTATTGCCATGACATAGGGAACGTTGCTCCTATTATTGACAGTATTTAGTTTTAATTTGTTGCATCTTTGTAATGTAGAGCAGACTGGAGAGTCTGACAGAGGCTGAACAAAAATAATTATTAATGTCACCAAACGGTGTGTTGCTGCCCCTGAGGCACATTTTAATGGATTTCTATTGGATTTTTATCACTGATTAAGTAGCAAGAGCACTTTCTAAATGTGTACTTTACATGTCAGAATCCATCAATAAGGTCCTGTCTCCTCTGTACAGCACCTTTGTAAAGTCTCTCCTCGTTATTGTTCTCCGGGCATCGGGTCCTCATGTTGCACCGGCACAGCTAATGGCACTCCATTCGCCAGTGCAACATTGTGCAAAAAAATGGCCTAAGTCATTATGATTAATGGAGAAGGGTTTTCCATTCATTATAGTGTTCTACATTGAGCACGTCAGTGTTCAACTGGTTCTTATAAATGTCTGTTCATATGATGGTTTGTGTGTGTGTCATTTGAAAACAAAATACCATGTTGAGAAGAAATAACATTGTTTTGAATGTATAGTTTCATTTTGCAGGAGAATTGAGGGGTTTTGCCCACTGTGTTTTTTGATTTGTGTGTAGAGTTCTAAAAGTATGAGGCATGCTTCAGAAAATGTGTGTAAACAATCGAGAAAAACTGTAAAACCAAAGTCCTGTGAGAAATTTGATTGTCTGCTTCCATCTTGTGGTGAGCAGAGGCACCTGCGGTAAAGGCCTCATACCCAACCCAAATGATGCAGTGGGCAACACAAGTAGATGTCAGGTTAGCTTGTTTTTGAGTTTGATGTCAAAGATGGAAGTATTTTCCTTGGAGCATCCATCCTGGATAGCAATGAAGCATTTCCTTGATTATAATTGGTATTTTACCAGCACTTAAGAACAGGGGCCTATTTTACGATGCAGGATTACTGCTTAGCGAGGTAACTTCGAGGGTAAATTTGGGGTTTCCTGTTCTACGACCCGGGTTCACTTCTTAGCGAGGTGAGTCTCCATGGCAACTTACGCTGAACGGCTAACCTGCTCCGGGGCAGGTAAGGTTTCAGATTGAACTCACGGAGTACAAAAACCCCGCCCACTGACCAATGAGCTCTCTCGAAAAATGGCTTGTCCGTTCTTGGAGGATCCGAGAGACCTCTGTGCTCGCATTGTCCGAGGAGCACTCCGGCGGGAGAGTTTTCAGGGACCGCACGGACCCACTTACTTTCCCGGAAGACCACCTTTATGAAAAGCTCATATGGCCTACATATCATTAAAAAAATGTAAAGACGATAGGAATGAACAAATGAATGAATTCATCTTGGAAATGAATTAGACATGTCTGGTGCATGTTAAAAGCGCATGTTCAACAGTATTTAGATAGATAGATAGATAGATAGATACATACATACATACATACATACATAGGCTTTATGGATCCCAAACTGGGAAATTCACGTTACAGCAGTAAAAAATACAAAATAAAATTAAGTATAAGAAGTAAGTACAATGCAGACTAAAAATATAAAAGTATATACAAAAGTATATACAATAAATACAGACTAAATATACTAAACATCCTAAGAGAAAAAAGTGAGATATCAAGAACGCGGGCTATTGAAATGAGTAATAAATATGAAATGAGTTATAAATATGAAATGCGAAATATACAGATGGGATGATAAATGAACAGACAAATTAAGGTGCTCAGTAATGTGATGTGGTAGGAGTCTTTTTTTTAATGTACTATACAGCAGACAGATGTGAGTCCCTGTCTGACAGATGTGAGTTATTAAATAGTGCAATAGCTTGTGGCAGGAAAGATTTCGTGTATCTGTCCCTTCGACAGCGGAGCTGCAACAGTCTATTGGAGAAGGAGCTCCACTGTCTGTCCAGAGTGAGGTGGAGAGCAGTGGCGATTGCTCTAAGACTGCAAGGGAAGCTCAGCTTCCCTTAAAATGTCTGCCCCCCCAAAAAAGAAAAAGTGGTGAAATACGTACTGCTGTGTGTACATTTCATTAACTAGATACGCGCTAGAATGCCTTCATCTTTTGTTCAGAATCAGCTTCTTATCACACTGTTATAAGAAGCTGATAATCACAGGTAACCGGCACAACTTCGTTCTCATTCATCCTCGCAGCGCCTCAGTGCTTTACACAGCCGGACGCTCAGCGTCTGCTGACTTCAATGTGGAAGCTCAAAGTGGGTTGTTCCAGCAGCGATACTAGACGCTCATTGGATAAATGCTGGTCTTTGTCCCGCCCATCGGATGCTCAGTGTCTCTGGAGTTCTATGACGAGAGGGCGGTCCCAACTTTCTTGCGGACGCTGAGCTTCTGCATCCATGATTGGATGAGCTGTCTGAGGCGAAACCTTTTTTTGATTGACAGCTAAACAAGCAAATCAGCTATCTTGAAGAATAAAACATCTACCAGAGCATTTTCCAAGTTATTCATTCTGTCGTTCTTAACTGCTCCGGAGGCTTTACCGATCCTCAGCGACTTTTGTCTTTGTTAAAAATGACTGCCGTTGTGTTTGGCCACTTTGTTCTGTTACATACAAATAAACAAACACAATTATGATGTAGGCCAGAAAAATGAGCTTCCCCCTCCTTGAAAGACCAGCAGCCGCCACTGGTGGAGAGGGTGGTCAGGGTTATCCATGATGGATAACAGTTTGGTCAGTGTCCTCCTCTCCACCACAGCCTCCATAGTGTCCTGTTTGCAGCCAATCATGGAGCCACCCTGATCAGTTTGTTGAGTCTGTTGGTGTCATTTCAGGGAGATAATGGCATCAAAGATTTATTGCGCACTATATTTACGCATTGAGACTGTCGGCAATTTTCTGCCAGCATTCCTTTCGTGTGTTTGCAGCGGCGACAGTGTTGCTTTTGAGGTTTACAATAGATTTGATTTCTTCATACTTTCTCATGATTGTCTCCTGTTCCTCGTTTGGAAAGTCCGCGGTCCTTCGCTCTCCGGCCTGCTCTGACGCTCCAGACTGGTCCATGTTCACGATTGGTCAGATGGGACGGGCACCGCCTTACATGCGTGCACACGCTCAAAGCAAAGCTGGATCCACTTACGAGGTTGATGACGAGCGTTGTAGCGAGAGCGTTGGCTACTGCGCTAAGTTGAGGTAGCTAGGTCGAACTTGCTTCGTAGAATTGGCCCCTGATCTTTTTAGCATAAAAACATTTAATTTGAATGGTTGCAAACTTTTGACGACTTCAAGGACAACTGCACTACTATTCTGCATGGACAGCACACCACTTTGTCTTTGTTTGTGGGTATTTATGTGTCTGTGTGTATATGTGTGAGTGTGTGTCTGTGTGCATGTAGAAACAGGTCCCTGTGTCCCACTGTGAGCCTGAATGGAGGCCATTTTCTCCACTGAGCGATTGTTCTCTGTCTGTACCCTCCTTCTCTCGCACTTGATGTCATCCTATTCTCTGTTCTTTTCTCTCTCATGCTTGTTATGTAACTTTGGGAAATGAATTACACTGCTTGTCTGTCTGATACTTCCTATGAGAGCCACTCATTATTGCAGATTCAACATTTATGTGGGTAGTCATGTGTGGAATTCAGTTTTAACAGCATATAACACACAAAATATGTTTTTCTTTGTTGTTTTTATCTTTTTTTTTTGTTTGTTTTGATCAGCAAAGATAACGGCAGCTGCCCATCTTTTTTATTTCATCTTACCCAGCTTAACTTTACAGGTTTTTATGACAAATGACCAGTTCAGCACCAGTTCTTGCAGTTTGAAGGTCAGATGAGGTTTTGTTGGTAAGTGGTTAAGTTTGTAACAAAATTTTGAGGTTCTGTGAAACTGATTTTATGTTTTATCAGTATGTATTTTTTCTTTGAAAAAGACCATTCAATCACACAGTGAGGTCCTACTTGTCAAATAAACAGAATGAAGTTTGATTAAATAGCAAACACACAAGAGCATGTACAGAATGACTAAAGGTATAATGTAAATACTGCCACAATAGACCACGAGCCTAATTGTTTGTCATACCTGAGTGACTCTCAAAGCAAGCACCCAGCTGTTACCATATCAATGACTGACAGGCTACATTATTGATGAAGAAGACACACAAAGGCCAGACTGATATCTCATACACAGAGTTTGAAGGTAACAGCTAGTCCAAGGTCAAATGTTATACAACAGGAGCTGTGAAACTTAAAAAGTTACATATGTACTTGTAAGGATTTTTTAAAAACACATTTCCTTATAAAAATCCTTTGGTTCATAATCAAGTAAAAACAGTTCAATTCCAACATTATCATTTCATGGCTTTCGACATGAAAAGCATAAACGTAAAGAGAATGTTAGGAGTAAACAACACAAAATAGTTGCTGGGTGAAGTGTCAATCTATGGTGCACCTAATTTAATGGTGACCACACAAATTAAAAAAAACAAACATGATATCAATCTTATTTTAAAATACTAGTCAAACAGATGATCGAATCCGAGATTTGCGATTTTGTGTCCACAAATCTAGCCTGACTCTGTATTTGCTCTGAAATACAAACGAACAAAAACAGAAAGGTACTGGTCAACACGAGCTGTTCTTTTCAACCGACCAATCAACGTGTCATGTAAGTGGTTAAACGTTCACAGTGTTGCACGTGATTTGCTGTCGACCGCGTCCGTCATTCATCAAACCGCGCCCACAGTGCGAGCGACTTCCGCCTCTGTGTCAATCGTAGGCTACACACTAATTCTGCTCATTTCTCCGGGCTTGTCACGTTCCACGTACCTCTCAGGTAAGGCTAGTGACACTTTACTGCCTTGGGTTTTATGCCGTGTTACAAGCGTCACAAACCCGGCTTTGCTTTGCAAATTACAAGGTTAGTTGCTAACTATGCTACTTAGCGATATTTTGTAGCTGAGCCGCTAACGTTGGTGCTAACTGTCAAAAATCTTCCTGTCAGAGTTGGAGCGGTCAGCTTGTTGTGAGTGTGTTTGCTCAGAACATGCTGTACCCCACTATGTCCACCCAACTACCTTGTTCTCATTTACAGCTATAGCCAGGTCTGGTCACAGTTCACAGTTGGCAAGCCTGTTTAGTATTTGTGCTAGACTATTTTTGCTATTGTTAGCAAGGAAATACTTTACGTTAGCACAGCATCCGAGATGGCTTTTTCTCGGTACCTCCCAGATGTTAAGAAATCCTAAAAGCTTCTCTCGGGTGATAAAACTACTATGTCATTACACTCTCGACAGCAGTTCTAGTTAATGTTCGGATATGACTGCTCTCGTCTGTCCAAGGTGACATGTAAGGTAGACACAAGCAAATGATACACAGTTGGGAAGAACTGCTGCTAAGGAGTCCCCTGATTTCTTATGAATGTTTGAGGAAGAATCATGAAGAAACACCTGGGCCACTGGCAGCACTAATCTCAGCTAAGGTGTAGGTTAAGACACTTCTTATCGGGTTTTACAACTTGAGCCGCATTGGGAATGTTCCCCTGCCTGTTCTCCTCCTCCCTGCCCTCATCTCTATCAAGATGTGCCACACGGGATAGACCAAACAAAGCTTTTTCTCTGTACATGTCAGCTCACAGTAAGTCATTGACAGCAAAGTTTGCACTGACGCAGCAGGCTGTTTGTTTGTATCTCTCAGGGGCACAGACTGCGTTCCTGCGTCAACTGACCCCTGATGATGACGATCCCTTCTAAAAGTGTTCACACTGAGACAAAGAGTCTGTTTAGACCGACACCAATATCTTGTTGTTTTGGTACATAAAAAAATTTGGACTACTTCTTTTAAGTATTGGGTTTCAATGTCAGACGATTGTGCAGACAAATGTTGTGTAAACCTACACAATATTTAGCTAGTTTCAAATGAACAGGACAGCCAACAATGAAAATATATAATTTAAAGATAAATACAATTGCAATTACTGCAGTGTTATCAAAAGTGCTTCAAATTGAAACCTTTAAACAGTTAAGCTGCTGTCACAGTCATGATTTAAACATGACATGATTTTTTGGAGTTATCATGAGTTAGTTCATGTTTTGGGGATTGTTTGTCCAGTTCTGGTTATCTAACAGCCAACGCAATAAATAATAATAATAATAATAATAATAATAATAATAATAATAAAAAACTGCTAGCTGATGGACAGTTATTGATGACCTTCCCTGGTATTGGCTCAGTAAGATTTTGCCACATATAACACTGCCATCTGTAATTACAAAAACAGAAAAAAAACCCACAAGGTCAGTATTTGTATTGAGAAAGTTAGTTAAATTATTTTATGTATGTAACAATTCATTATATATAATTGTCTTTGTCTTTTACATGTTTCAGATTGATTTTATTTTATTTTTTACAATAGTTCATGTTATAGATTTCAGAACATGACTGTAACTTGGGTCTAAGGCAGTATTATTATTATCGTGATCGTATTTCAATTAAATACTAGCAAGTAACTGTTTTAAATGTGATATTCTGTCATTTAGGATCAGAATCATCTGATCTTAGGATCATCTGGAAAAGATGATAGTGAAAGGACATTTAGACAGACATTTGAAGCACAGTTTATGAGCGTTGTAGTAGGGGCACAGGGCTCCCAACAAATGTTTCCACCATGGACCTTTCCAACTTTGATTGACAGCAACTACACTGACAAAGCAGCATACATGGACATGGCAGACATGGACTATCCTTTCAATAAGCTGTGGTGTAAAGGTGGGCATCAGCCAATGCAAATAGTTTCAAAGTACTATCAGCTAACCTGATTAATTGACCAACCACTATTGACATTACAAGATGCCCATAAAGAGGCAAGGAGCTGACTATTTTCATTCTTACGCTGCATGGGAATTACAGCTGTTGTCATTGTGTTATGCATCCACATCCCAAAGGTGTCTTAATTACCCCCATAGTAAGTTGCTATGGTAATTGTCTCCATTTGAAAAGGGACCATCAAAGTGCACAACAGATGACTGCTTTCTATGTGACAGAACAGCAGAGTGAGGTGGAATTTTGTACTTGGAAACGGGAGATCTCTGTTTGTTTATTTCTGTGGTTGCCTTAAGGGTTTATTCTGTAAACACCTTTAAGGTATGTTAATCAGACATGTACGTTTGAGTTCCTGTGGTTACATTTGAGTCAACAGGAAAGAGATTTTGTAAGGCATGTCCTTCTAGCTAAATTTCATAATGTTGAAGAGGGATGTTGCACTGGTGGTTGTGCCAACACAGGTTAAAACAGACATAATTCCCTATTTTGAAAGTGAAGTAATTCTTTTTGGATCTGTAACATATTTTTAAGCAGGCATTTTTTTAGACGTCAAAGTCATACTACATTTTGAATCATATATCTTTTTTTTGCTCAGTTATTGTTGAAGCATTTAAAAAAATGGCACAGGTTGCTTACTCTCTTATGATTTGTACTTTTGCTGTTCATTGCGCTATATTTCAATTCTTTTTGTTTGTCCATGTGCACTGTGTTTCCATAGGGGGTAAGGCTAAGTTGGAGCTAACGATAATCCAGGCAACCATCAAGGCAATACTGTATGTGTAATTTATGATAGAGCAGAGTAACATGCAGCCAATCAGGGACCTGTCTGAGACATAGCCAGTGTATTGTTTGGCCTTGCTATGATTGGCCCATGGTCATAAGGAGTGGATGTGGGTCTGCAGAGACAAACTGTGTGAACAGGCATGTGATTGATTGTCTCTGTTATCAGTGGCCGGACTTGGAAAGAATAAGAAATGGATTGATCTGTAAATAATTAAAGGGCAGTTTACAGATTTGGAGACCCCAATGACTGTGGAGGAAAATGATTTTGAAAGGATATATTCCACACTATATATGAATTAACGCACAACAGTGACTTATGAAGTCATTTAATATTTTTTTTTATTGTACTTCTACATTAAAAATGGACAACCTGATGTGATGTAGTGAGGGGGAGGTTTGCAGGTTATGCTGATGTTCAGCATTAACAAATTAAAATCTAAATGCCAGTCAAATTGATGAAAACAAAGAAGATGCGTACTCATCTGTATACAATGGACCACAGACTTAGAACTACAAGCTTGATGGAAGACAACGAAACAGGAACAGGGTGGGATTAAGAAACATCATATCTGCAGATGTAAAGCTGATGACCTAAGTCAAGTTTTTGTGGAGAGTGAGTGACTGGCATAAAGACTGGAAGAACTTTATCTATCTATCTATCTATCTCTCTCTATCTCTCTCTCTCTCTCTCTCTCTCCAGAGGGGTATTCAATGAATACGCTAAAAGCACTGTGTTCACAATTCATGTTATTGTTTATGATCATCTATAGAGGACACATATAGATATGCCAGGGGTCTGCCAGTGTAAATGTCATTATTATGCAGTTTGTACCTACTTTCATAAGGGAGGTATAAACTGGCCTGTAGTAGCTTTCTTTGACTCAGCTGGGAGGTGAGGCCAGTGATTGATCCACTTCAGTCAGTATTCATTGTTGTGTGTGCCAACATTTTAGAACATGAATCTTTGAGATCTAGTTTGTCTGTTTTTGTCACTGTAACCAGAGACCCCAGTCGACAGTTTTGTCATTATACTTAACTGATGAACAGCTAAACTGTAGAGGAATATCACACTTCAGACTTTGACTTTAGTGTCATAACATGACAGTTGTTGAAATAGTAGTGTTTATTTAGCATCTTATCTCTTTTTCCTCTTAATTCATGCCTTTGTGTCCTGTAAAACATTTGTTAATATTGTAAATAAAAATACGTCTTTCAAGTAGCCCTATAAAGACAGAGCTGTAGTCACTGTTTCTCGGTTGAACACACAGTTGATGTGTTGTGTAAAGTGTTATTTGGATGTGATCTATTAGTCTTGTTGTCCTGTCTGTGTGTTTTTCATAAATTTCTAAAAGAAAAGTCTGTAATTCTCTAATATGAGTGTGTTTAATCTCTGTTTTCTTGTATCTGGAAAAGTTGCAGTGTCGTACAAAGTGGCTGAAAAAAGCAAGCACAATGTTATTCCTCGTCAACTTAAAGGTTATCTTATTCTGATAACCTCTCAGGAGAAAAATACCAGCCGGGCAGGGCTTTTCCAGCTGAAGTCATCACACAAGGACAGATACAAACAATGCTGATCACAGAATTTGCCTTTGTGTATGTTTTACATGCTCTCACCAAGGAGTGTCATGATGTTTGCATCTAAGGGTGGACACGTGAAAGGAGTTTCGAGGCGAGATGCTCAGCAGGCTTTCTATCTATAAACCTGTGTGAAAGTGAGACTCATCCTAGCAGGTTTTACCTCTCAGCAGGTATTGCTGGAACGTGCTGACTCACACTACACTGAATGGTGGTTTATGTCTGTGACAGACAGCGTGCTCAGCATCCTGCTGAATGAGACAGTGTTGTGTTCCCAAAGGATTTACACTGAGTCCTAACAGAAAGAAGTTGAAGAGAACAGGCTCATCATTTCAGGCAGAGGCAGGCACACAGGCCAGATGGACTGACTCCAGTTCTCAAGCAAAAGAAGAGCAAGGGGACACTTCTCGACCAGATATTACCCAATGAGGCTTCAGCATTGACCTTGGCTTGTAACCAAGGTCTTATTGTATGATAGTCAGTCATTAGTATTTATGACAGTCTGCCAGAAATACCTTTTTCTTTGGCCTATCAACACTGTTTACATTCCCCCTCTTTCATGTCATTATGGCCACCATGAGGAGTCATTAAGTAGTGACCATAGACTATAGAATGGACAGCGTCTGCCTCCTTGCTGGGTGAAGCCACTCTGAGAACAGCACCCTCTGTTGATGGGCTGCAGTACAGGTCATAAATCCCGCCTCGGCCAGCAAAGCTTATGGAGCTGTGGACAAACTTTAGAAATTTATTACGCTAACATAAATTTTTCTCCCCCCTGCTTGCGTTGTTGACATGTAGTTACAGTAAGACTAATTTGTGCTCAAGTCCTCTTTTTTTCTGTGAAGCTCCGTTTTTAAAAGTTATTAGGGGGTTCATGTTTGCTATGATTGACACCTGATACAGCCTATTGGCGTTCAGGGATTGCGTAGCTCACCCGGGGGATATGCTGATTGAGCCGAGCGTCATCACAGCGACTCTCAGCGACTCTCCCGCCGATACGCACAACGCTACTGTGCAGTGCTGGTTTCAGGAAATGAAGAAAAATCGCGGAAATACAGAGAGCTTTTTGGCTTCAAATCCGTATACAGGCGGGAGGCGGAACCAAGTTGTCCATAGTATATCCAGTCTATGGTAGTGACATGGTGAGTCACATTGGCAGGGAAATTTGATCTAAAGCGCTGTATTTTATCAATTGGACTATCTGTGTGTATCTGTCACACAGGTTAGACTCTAACCTGTGTAATGGTTTGGTAATCAAATAATGGTGATAGCTAAATAGAGTCACTCTAACCGTTAGAGTGACTTTATTTAGCTATCACCATTATTTGATAATGCAGTGATAATATGACAGCTAAGAGAGCAACAGCTTCAGCTTTAAGTTTCTACATCTTTGTGCCTTTTGGCACAAATTTAGAATTGTGCTTGTATTTGACTGAAGTGCAATTCTTGCCCATCACAAGAGCTTTGTCAACCACATCCTTCTTGCTCTTTCCTCTTCCTTGTTGCCTTTCAGCCTTTGTATAAGCGAGTAACTGCCACTAAATTGAGATCAACTTGACTATTCAAGCCTTTAAAGATAATGTTGATTACGTGCAGTCATATGCTTTTTTGTGTGGCCCTGTTCTGAAATGGTTGTTCTGAGTAGGAATGCAGACTAAGTGCTGTACGGTTAATATGAGTCTTTAAAGTGTGTGTGCTGGCATGCAATGGGTGGGACAGTGTTTATCCGTTTTGTTTTGTGGTTGACTTCCTGGGCTGATGTCCTCATACAAGGCCAAAAGGTTGATGCAATCTAGGGGTTGCACTTGTTTAATGGGCTGTTTGTTGTAGACATGTTCTACTCAGAAACTCTCAAAATGTAACTTATCACCGTTTTTCTTGCAGAGTCACATAATTTATCCCTCTGCAGGTCTAGTAGTTATTGTGCTCTTTATGGAAGAGAAACAAAAGATGCAAAAGAATAAATGATAAAAGAAAAATTGGTTTTCCCTTGTAATATCTTAGCCTTTGAAAAGGAATCCACTTTGTAGTCCTTACTGGTTTCTGTGAGTTTGATGCTTCCCTAAAACACCACTCTCATGTACGGGCCTTTCAAGCTGCACCTGTCTGTAATTTAAGTAAACTTTGTATCGCTTTTCTAATTGTTAGTCTTATGTGTATTTTACTGACCAGTGATCAGGGGCATAATTTTTTAAAGCAGGTTTCACTGATTTAACTTTTCCCTATGGTTTTTGATAGTCTGCATGGCCCCTGTTCAGAGGAACTGAACAGAGAACAGACATAGAAGGCTACACTACCTACCACTTTTGATGGAGTTTGATCAACACTCAGCTGGAAGAAGTTATGTGAGATCTTTCTCTCTCCTAGGGTTATTATGAAACTAGAAGTTTGATTTTGATAAAACATCAGTGACAAAAATCCAGATTTGGAGACCTGTTTTGATATCACAACAACAAGAAATGAACTACCAGGCACCCATAATTCTGACCCGCACATAGCCCTGTAAAGAAAATGTCACTGAACACAGACTAACTGAAAATAAAAGGCTAGTTAAAATGATTTTTACAATGACAGTAAAGTCACTACCAGTGCATCCCAGGATGAACCTCAACGTCCCTGCAGAAGTTTCATTGACGGGGTGGAATGCCGTTACTTGGGCTGAAGTTTTTCCAAAAGCATACACGAATAACTTAAACTGTCATAAATATCTCCATTGTCTGCGGGTATGGAAACTATCTCAGATAAGTGAATAAGAGTTTTCTGACAATTTCTGCTCGTCCCCTCACTCATACTGAACTAAAGTCTAACAATAGACACATTTATTGCTCTTTTCATCATAAAGTGTCCTACGTGTGTTTCAGGGAACTTTTTGTTCAACTTTTTAAATATTCTATGCTCAATTAACAAAAAAATTCTTCCACTTGTTGTTGGTTGAATAAAAAGCTTGAGTGTATTTCAGTTTCCTTCTTCATTTTTGTCCTTATATTACATACATACAGTATGTGTCTTTGAGATGACCTGTGGTATGTTTATCACAGTGTGCAGAGGTGTGTCACCTATTATGGTAGGTGTGTGTACACAGGGAAAAGGTGTGTGTGTGTGTGTGTGTCGCACACACACTGGGCCCTGTCGCACATGGCAACAGCTCTTGTTTCTTAATTTCTCTCGGTGTGTCTTTCGATTTGTGTTCTTGATCTCTTTGTCCCTGTGGCTTTGTGTGTTATTGTCAGCCCTCAGTGGACAGCACTGAGAGTGGTTGCTATGCTAGTAACTGAACCCTTGACTTTTGAATGGAATTGGTGGGTTTTGTCTTGAAGGTTTTAAATGACTGGTGACAGTGAGGTTCTGCTGCCCTTTTTTTGCTGAGAGGGCAACATGAGCAGTTAAATCCACTGAAATCTGTAAAATTAGAAGAGTGGTGGTGAGCTCAGATAGTCTGGAGCATTCTGATACAGATGAGCAGTAATGTGGAGCAACAGAAAAGCATGTTACATAGCTTTGGCTACTAGATGCTCTATTTTGTTGATTCAAATGAACAGGCCATATTGGTTGATTAGTTGAAATATGATGGGGGACTTAATTCTAACTTTTAAAGGTGTAAGGTTAATTCTGAGATCAATGGTGCCACCACCTTTGCCACTTTTTTTTAGTCTAAATTTCTTCTTGTAGTACATTTCAAAATGTTGTGCTGATATTACAATCTTCTGCTTTATTCACTAAGTCTCTATGAGCAAAACTTCCTTCTCAGAACTGTGTAAAAACTGAGGAAATCAATAGAGGGTATCCATCAGCAAGTTCCTTTGAAAGGGATGTAGCAAGTTAACTTGGTTGCTGAGGTAACAAAGAAACATCTGATGCTCCCCCTCTCTGCCATCAGAGAAGGCATGTGGTCAACTGGTATTCCCTCAGCACTGATCATCTGATGTGGGTTGCAAAGACAGTGAAAAGTGGCTACTCCTGAGGGAAGAACTGCATAAAAGTCTGTGCTTATGGTTTAAGATGTTGAGACCTGTCGCTTTACTTGAACCAAAGTTCACTTGATTGTTAGCCAGCCAGGCATAAAGCTTAAACGAGGAGCAATTCAGAAGACTGAAGCTCAAGCTTGTTTCTCAGACTAAGTACAGTAGTGTGGCTGTGAAGGTCTATAATCACATCACATCATTCCTTCAAATCTTTACTCACACCACTGGCTGAAACAAAATGCTACACTTGATAGGCTGCAGAAAAGTCTTCTGTGGAATATGTTTTAATAATAATAATAATAATGCATCAGATTTCATATAGCGCTTTATCAGAGACCCTCAAAGCGCTTTACATTGGATACATCATTCATTCGCTCACACAGTCACACTTTGGTTTTGTGTATTAATTGTTAGGTCTATCAAATAATAATGATTATTTTTTAATGACAATAAATCACAGAGTTCCACTGGTTAATTGTGATGAATAGCACTTTAATTGCCTGTAAAATTCCTATTATTTTGCATTTCAAGCAATTTTCTTTGAAAAAATTATTATCAGGCTTTATGCCTTCATTTGAAGAGGGAAGGAGAGTGAACAGAGTAGGAGCTAGGAGACAGAGTAGGGAGTGACTTGTGGGGAAAGGAGCCTCGGGTCAGAAGTAAACCTAGGCCAAGGACTGCTCGAGGCATAACCATTGTATAGGGCACATGTAGACCACTATGCCTACAGTGCCCCTTGTAAACAGTTCATATCAGTAATGCAAAGCAGTTCTTACCAGCCTGTTTTCAGGGAATTCAATGAATGCAATAATTGATTTCTAGATTTATTATTCAAACAAAAGCTGCAGATCTTCACCAGCGTAGTCTGAAAGCATAACTCAGAGGTCTTTGTTTTATGGATGGTTGTCAAATTTGGCCACACAGCCAAAAGGAACGTCAAAAGTTTGTCCACAGCTCTATAGGAATTGCTGATGGTGTCAATTCTATATACAGTCTATGGTACTTATTCTTAAGAGACTTGGTAAATGGTGAAGTAGTACAGCTTTATGCTGATCATGATGAATTCATCTCTGAAATGGTCATGGGATTTTCAAAGCTTCATTGTTATTGTTGATGAATTCTTAGAGTTATAAAATGTGGCTGAGCCAGTGAAGGATAAGTGGAACCTATAACTCATGCAAATCAGATTTTAAACTGTATATTTGCCTCCTTTACAGGCCCACAGCTAGGCAAAACATGTGTGTGTGGATACAGTGCAAATTCTTCACTGGAACCTTTTAGTGAGTGTTTCTCAGGTGACATGTTCATTGCTGAAAAAGTACATATATAGGGTCCCTGACCAGATGTAGGGAGAGGTGATATGGCAACCAGTCTGCCTTGACATCCCTTCATACTTGAGTCATATAATGACCTAAGGTCTTTTTTTGCTTGCTCTGGGTTCAGAAAATGTTGCAATAAGATCGTAGGTAGATTCTTGTCAAGATGTACTGTATGTAGAATGCTGAGTATGTCAATACTGATGCATTGATAGATGTAAGATAAGTATCAGAACTGGGACCTTGGTCATGTTTTGGCGTACAACTGGGACATTTTGGGCCTGGAGGTGTATGAAATCTGCTGGCTGTCTTGCGTTGAGCTTTTTGGATATCATTTGAGGAAAAAAAAGGAACTTATTTTTACACTATGTTAGACTGCTGTGCCAGAGACAAAGGGCTCTATTTTCGTGTCAGCTGGTGAGGCGGCTGAGGGTGGTGGAACCCGCGCAGTGGTATTTCCGTCTGGTGGAGCCCGGCGTACAGCCAGTTTGGTATTTTCGTGGACTGAGGTGCACTGAGGTCCGCCAAGCTGGGCATGGTGGCGTGGCAGAGGGAGGTGTCGGCAGAATCAGCTGGTGCAGTGACATTTTTGTGCTTGCCAGCGGCATATAAAGTGCGCTGAAAGCTCGCCAATTCAAACCTGGTCAGTTTTCAGCGCAGGCGGAGCGCAGCTGGTCTAGTGGTATTTTGGTAGACCGGCAGTGTATCGGCATACGTCACTGATTATGCAATAAATAATCAACAACAACTAATATTCTGAGTCAGCACATACATTTAGATCTATATAGATTTTGATCTATATCTGATCTGATGAGCGTGTTTGGCACGTGTTTGGACACACAACCTGACCAAATCAACACAGCTGAAACCGCATTAAATTAAATTAAATTAAATATCTAGTAAATAAACACACATGATGAAGTTAACAAGATATGTAATTCGTCTCCCTCCTTTTCTTTCTTCCTCTGCCTCTTATTTCTCACGCAGCTCGACCTGGTCATGTCTCCGTGTCCTCTCCCCGTCCTGCTGCAGCTGCATCTGCTGCTGAACAGATGATTTGTTTCAGTGATCAGATGAGTTATTTACTTTAAGCCTACATACGAATATTATAATATTCAGTTTTGTGAGCCAAATTTATTTTATATGCCAACATCTATGAAAAAAAGAGCCAGGCCACGGAGCGCGATGCGTCATTTACGCACAGATGGTTCAGATTTTAATGCCATTATTGGAATTTATGATGTGATTTCTGCTCACAACCCACCTTTGTCACGTGAGGTTTGAATATATGCAACTTTATGTGAGTGTCTTTATTTGTGGAAAGGGTGTTTGTCTATTAGTGGGTCCAACATTACACACACCAAATCCATCTGTGCTCATATGAGAGTGTGGAGGACGCCCTCTGCAGCGTTTACAGCGACACTTGTTGAGGGGCTGCCTTCTGTCGCCATCGTGTGGCATTGCTGTCTTCAGACACCTCTTGATCTCTTTGATTACTTCATGAAAATTGTAATACGCCTTGCCGGTGGCAGATTTAAAGGTGAGGAGAGGAGCTTATGTGATTGGTGAAAACAGGTCTCGGCTGTTTTAAACCCACTCTACGCCCTCTCTCCTCCCTCCCTGCGTCTTACACCGCTGGAAGGAGCTGAGTTAGGGAGGGGGGATACTTACGCTGGGCTGCGCCACTCGCCAGAATACCAAATTGTGCTTGGGAACGCCTTGTCAGTGCAGCGGACCTGACTTACGCTGCGCATGCGCCGCGTCGCCGGCGAGGCACGAAAATAGAGCCCAAAGAAGCTATTTGTATGTCTCCATCCATGACATGCAATGTTAGACCTTCTATTAACAGGTAAAACAGCTTGTTCTAGTATTGCTTCATCATCATATGTGGTTGCCCAGGCCAAAGTTTATTTGTGAGCTGAAGGACAAACCAGATCAATGCAGAACCTCTGCTTTATGAGAGAGGCAGGGAGGAGAAAACAAGCACCTTTAACATCAGATTCGGCATTTAAAGATTAGAAAAGAATACCTCCAGAGATTTTTTAAATTTTATTTTTTTTGTTTTATTTTTTTTTGTTATTTACACTGCTTTGATCGTTTTGTACTGCTGACACATTCATACTAGTATCATTGTTCAGTATTTACCTTGGACTGCTCTACAAAAGTATCTCCTCCCATAGTAGCATCCCCTTATTTGTAAGTAAGTTGGTGTGATGTTGTTTAAATTAGGAATGATGAACTGCTTGTCTATTAATATTCTCTGCCAAACTACATCCTGTCCTAGACTTCATTTAGAACAACTCGGAGCCTATGATGAAAACATTTCTTCTCACTACACTATTCCTTAGTGTATGTCATACCCACATCCCCTTTGACCGCTCTCATATCTTTCTGGGTTTGCTAACTTTGCATACAACGTATGCGAAGAATTTTATGACCAAAAATGTAAACACAAATGCTGAAAATTTCCTGTTACCCTTTATGCAACATGGACTGTGGTAGGAACAGCATGTTCTCAATGCAACGGTGTCATTCAATTTTTGCCATACAATATTTGCTTGCTATTTTTGTTATTTGCTAAATCTAGCTTACTCATGCAGCTCTCTTTACATTTTTAAAAAATATATATTTTGCTTCAGTTCCCTTTTTTTTTTTTTTTTTTTTTTAAATAAATTCAGTTGACGTTCAGAGTAATTATCCAGAATTCTCTGTCAGGGGAAACTCAATGTTACTCTGGACTTTTCATTGCTATTTTGGGTATTGGGGGAATCCAGAGTTTATAACATTTGATTGCCAAAGCACCATCAGAAGGAAACAAAGACCAAGAATGTTTTTGACTGTGGCATCCCGGTTATGTAACTCATTGACTAGACAACTCAGTTTGAGCTGAGTTGTTGTTTTAAACAAGCCTGTTTAGAAAGTAGCCTAGATGGCTTAATGATCATTCACATTGTCTGTCATTTTCTGTCATTTATGCCAAATCATGGAAGTCTAATGAGCTAAAATCCTATTCAGATCTGAGACAGAATACCAGCAGACCTGTTCGTATATGTGCTCTGTTTTCTGTCTCATACTCTTCTGCAGTTTCTGAAATAGTCAGAGGAAGCTGATGATATATTCAGACCCCGAGACCTTTTATTTCCAAGTCTTTTTTTAATTAGTTGTAACTTGGAGGTCTTGATGGCTTAGATTGGATTGGAAAAGACAACAGTTTCATTCACTGATTTTTTTTGTTCCCACAGGTTAACAAAAACAAGGAAACACAAACCAAACTGAAGTTATATTAACTGCCCAAACCTGGTCTGTCAGTCAAACAAACAATAGACATCGTCCCCCAGTATCATCCCTCTGTGGTCAAATTAACTGTACCGTCAGACTCTCTGGATATAAGCACACATTGACCTGTTTCTGTGGAGACAATCCAGAGGGATCTTGATTGAAGGTCTTCCTGGAGAGCAACACTGAGTGACTGCCACCAGTGGGAACATGTGCTAGGAGTTGAGTCTTTCTGCTGAACAACTGGACTGCTTCTCTGGAAGATGAGCAATGAGGAGGAGTTCTATGACGCCGTCACAGGTGGGTCTCTAAGTGTGTTAACTGGTAAATACAAGTTTGAATTGATTTCTGGTTTCTCTGAGATGAAGACGGTCAAATGGTTTTTGCCAAGGAAAGGTCAAAAACTGTAGCAGAACAACATTTTTTAGTTTGTGTGTCTTAAAACAGGATCTTATTCTAGAATTGACTTTCCCTTTGGGTATCAATGAAGTCCTTTTTATCTTATTATCAGAAAACAGGAGTCAGTTTTTGGAGCCAGAGGTCGACTGTTGAAATGAAGCTGACTTATTTTGCCTTTATCATAGAAGCACAATGCCAATGAAACCCAACCTGACTTAGTCTGGTTATTGGTTTAATAATTCAGAGTATCTTGGCTCATGACTGTTCTGTCTCCTTGGAGACTCTGGGAGTGTGCTTGTATCTCTGTGTGTTAGAACTCTGTTGGCAAAATAAACAAATACTGTATACTCAGATGAATTCAGATTGAATCTTGAATTGTCACCTAGTTTCTGATTCAAAGATTTGATTTCTTCTCTATTTTGCCTATCTCCCCAGCTGAGATGGGGTATGGTTGTTACACGGATAATGATTGCACAAAATTAGCACTTGACTCTTAGTATTTCTTGTGCAGCCTTGGGTAAGGCAGTTACATAAATAAACAGATGAAACTTGTGTCATCATATTAGAGTTTCAAATTGCAGCACCCCATAGGGATGCTGATGATTCACTGTCATGAAGAAACTGATATCCATGCATTAGTTAATTACAATAAATAAATCCAATCTAATCCTCATATAGTTATTTTACTTACAAGGATGTTGTCTCTAAATTTAGCCCTTCTCCCATGTCAAAGGCATAATGGAGGTGTGATGGTTCAGAAAGATCACAGCTACCAGGGTCCTGTCTCAGTTTAGTGCTTTGAGTGTTGATTATATTTAAAGGGTTTAGGAGCAGTGCAAAGCAGCATATACTTCTGTGTTAACAGCTGCTGTCACTGGGGATGCAAATTCAGAGAGAATTCTCTGTGGCTGATCTTTGGATATGTTAAAGATTAATTATCTATTTTGGCCAGTGGATCACAGAGGAATGTCCTGCAAATGTCCTGTACTGGTGTCATTAGTGGTGTTCTCGTGTGTTGGTTGTTGCTTTCCCAAAAAAAAAAAAAAGTGCAGGAACACTTTAACCTAGGCATCAATGCTGACATTACTCCAACTTGTCTTTGTGTTATTATGATCATCTTACTAATCTGAAAGAAAAGCAAGCCAGGACAGATATATTATTCATTAGGTCATGGCAACCAGACTGACTGTGGTCACTGTTAGGCAGTTTCCATGTGGGCCTTAATGGCTGTACCCTCAGTGAACCAGGGCAAGACTTCAATTGTTTCCCAGTATTTTTGAAGCAAAGATTAAATGAACATAAAGTGAATACAGTAAATAGAGACTTTCACTGAACCTTCTGGCCAAGTCCATATAGATTTCTCATCAACCTTGTTTAATGAATGTGGCTAAACTTATTTTTACTTATAGATCTAATTTGTACATCAGATAAATTTTGGTCTTTCAAAAAGTTATTCTGTTGACTTTTGTAACACCTAAAGCCATGAAACCATTATTTTCTTTAACCTGATCATGCTTCTTTATTCATAACCGGTTTTCCACCAACAAATCCGTAGTAGAAGCCTTCTTGCAGGTGTCTAAAGGTATTATATGTCAAAATTGGCTAGTGTAATTTTGAGACAATAGACCCTGTACCTTTGACGTACCTCTGACAGCTGAGAAGGTGTGTTCAATTATTTCAAAGTCTTTTCTATTTTAAGAGTTTGTTGAAACCCCACCTTAAGATCATCACAGCTCCACCCTGCAGCACTTACACTCACAGGCCTTGTTCATGCGCTGGCTGAGAGCCAGGTTCAGGTCATTACTAACCAGTATTTCCATAAACACTTACAAAGCTATATTCAGGCTTACTTTTGGTGGAAGACTTGCTCATGCAGCTTGGCATCAACAAAAGCAACTATTTTTCCTTCACATATGGCCACACTATGATGTTTTCACTTTTCATCATTTCGTTATTTAAGTTGGTGGATAAGAGAGTAAGACTACAGATTCTTCAGGGATAAATAAAGTTATTCTTATTCTTACCTTTTTCCAAGAGTCAGAGTTTAGAGTAAGCCACAGAGGATCGTATAAACTGTTTCAGGCAAACGGTAAAATTTGAAAGTCAAACACAGGTCAAAGTGCCTGATGTAAAATGTTATGCAAATATAACATGTCTTCAACATGTTACATGGCAAAAAAAAAAAAAAAAAACTCCTACCAACAAATCATTCCGCCAAGTGAACCTTTTTATTGGTATTTTTTCCTCTTCTACTATTGTCTGCTATGAAATGGTAAATGAGCATGTATTTTCCCCATATCATTAGCTGTTAGATTTCAGAATGTTTCACCGACTATAGCATCCTGTTACTTTTTTGTCTCCCAGGCCTGGATTCAGATGACTCGTATGAAGGGGTGTCAGAGGCCAGTTTCAAAGATGCATTGGTGTATGACGGCAACAGCCAGAAAAACAACGGATCAGTTCTGCAGGAGAACGGCATCAAGAAACACAGGCAAGACAGCATTCCTGCACCACATTCCACCTGTGGTGATTATTTGTATGTTTGTAGCTTCATTACATCTCTTTCAAAAACTGCTGACAACTCCCATTGAAACCAGTTCAAAGTACTGGGCAGAGTCAGAACTGGTACTCATTAGGATTGTTTGACTGAACTTGTGTCATACTATTAACTCCTCTGGGTTGTATTTGGAAGTCCTTGCCTTGAGTTGCTACTTTACGATAAAAGGGGTGAAATAATCAAGTCAATCTTGTTATAGATGAGTACACTTGAAAATTTGCGGTTCCATAACTATTGACAGCTGTGTCATAGTTCCTTATGTTGGCTATCAGCACAGGCAAAAAGAAGATACACAATAATACAAGTGCAGGGAAAGAGAGTGGAGGTTGGAAAAACTCCACAGAACTACACTAGGTCCCTCTTATTGGGGCAGGTCACCATGGTAACATATGCTGAGCACCTAACCTGCTTGGGGTTAGCTGTGTTTAGGAAAAGTCTGTCCACAGAAAAACACTGCCCAGTGAACTATCAGTTTGCTAAATGAGTCGGGTTTGATTATGTAGGCCTGAGAGTTGATTAAGAGGAGGAGGGGTATGACTGGTTACTATGACGACTTATAATTTCCAAGACTCACAAGCCTTAACATGCACATTCACACGTTTGAGTATCTTCAGGCCCGCTAACAGACCTGACAGACCGCAGGCTCGGCCTCTCAACGACCCATGTTACCATTCTGACCAGCTTTTTGACAGAGATAGGGTCAGTATAGATAAAGATCAGAGTGATACTGACAGCCATCTTTCATTTTTCCCTCTGATGCATATCTACATCACTATCATCTCTTCTTGCAAACTAGAACATAGTTCTGTACAACTCAACTCAAAGACAATTTTTTTAAAACATTTGTTGGGTGTCAGATGCCAAAGCCAGATCCCACATGAACATATATACTTAGTATGTCACATGTTTTGCCATTAATACTGTTTAATTTACTGTGTGCATTTTTTTTCCCAGGACATCATTACCTGCACCCATGTTTTCCAGGAACAATGTCAGTATCTGGAGTATCCTGAAGAAATGCATTGGAATGGTAAGGAGGCACATGTTCCAGTTATAAAGCTAATCCTAACATTTGATATAGCTCAATTGTCAAATTAGAGGAGAGAATTCCCACTACTTATATCTTCAAATGTATCTAGATGTCAATATAAACTAATGAATAATGAGGCTTACATGATGACTAAAATTGTATGATTTTGATATTTGATGTATCACATTGAATGTTTGTTTGATTTATACATTTGTTTTATAATGTTTTAATAAATATCATTTGCCTGAGGGCTTCAAACACTTTTCATTTTACAGGAACTGTCAAAGATCACAATGCCCATCGTCTTCAACGAGCCTCTGAGCTTCCTGCAGAGAATCACAGAATACATGGAACACACTTACCTCATCAACAGAGCCTGCTCACTCGCAGACTCCATAGAGCGCATGCAGGTCCGAGACACACACACACACACACACACACACACACACACACACACACACACACACACACACACACACACACACACACACACACACACACACAGGCATGCACAACAACTTCGTTGTTGGGTTTTCCTTCACAGTTGCATACAGCTTCACAGGCACAGAGGAACAAAAACACATCATAGATCTTATTAAGAACAGCCAAATGAAAAAAAACGACACTTTTGAACCTTTTTTCTTCTGCACTAACTAATGCAGTGTAACTCCTCAGAAAGTATCCATGATTATGTCTCATCACTGTCTCAAATGTACCACTCCTGAGATGTTGATGGACAACACAGAGTGTCAAATCCTGTGAACAAACTGAGACTAAAAGTGTCTGTGGGGAACTGAACCTTAACGATCCATGATCATTTACATTTTGTCCTCAAGAGTCACACAATGTACAAAAAATGATCACAGTTCAAAATGATTTCATAATTATTCAATAATAGTTAAATGATCTGCAGGTCACCTACCAGTGCACAGAGTTACAAAAACATATACAGCTCTTGACCTACCCCATACCCAAAATAACACTCATAGACCATTTAACACACTTGTCTTGTCACTCACAGCTATGATCTGTGATTTTTCGTCCTCAGGCGGTAGCGGCTTTTGCTGTGTCAGCAGTTGCGTCTCAGTGGGACAGAACTGGAAAACCCTTCAACCCATTGCTGGGAGAGACCTATGAACTCACCAGGTGTGTATAACACACCCCCACACACTCACGCAGGCTCGCACAGAAACAAAGATGTTTTTTTAGGTCTAACCAGTTAAACACTGATCTTTATCTTTGCCTCTTTGTTGTCCTCTACAGAGAGGATCAGGGTTTCCGGTTGGTGTCCGAGCAAGTATCCCATCATCCCCCGGTCAGTGCCTTCCATGCAGAGAGCCTGTCAGGGGACTTTGTCTTCCACGGCTCCATCTACCCCAAACTTAAGTTCTGGGGCAAGAATGTGGAGGCTGAGCCTAAAGGAACCATCACGCTAGAGATTCTCAAGTAAGTCCAAAAGAAAGGGTGGTGAAAATGTGGATTATTTTCTTGGTTAAAGACAGTTATTCATCCTCTTTGGTCTTGTTGTCTTACCCTAATGCTCTACCTCTCTTTCCTTTTTTTCTCCTTTCCATCTGATAATCTTATCCTTCTTTTTCTCCTGTGCTCTACCTTGTTCTTCATCCTTCCTTTCTCCTCCTCTTCTCTTCTTTTCTCATCTCTAGACACAATGAGGCATACACATGGAGTAACCCTTGCTGCTGTGTACATAATGTCATCCTGGGCAAACTATGGATAGAACAGTATGGCACAGTGGAGATCGTCAACCACAGGTAAACCTCCTGCTCTTTACCAAGTGTTACTTGTGGGTTGGTTGTTTGTTGAACAGCTGGTGGTTTGAACCTGTGATGAGCAAAATGTCTTTGGGGATAGATCAAAATTTTACGCAAATGCAAGACTTGAACGTCTCACACACACACACACACACACACACACACACACACACACATATTTTAGGAATGGGCAGGGTTAATCGATGATTGATTAATTGATGTTAAGAATCACGTCGACCACACCACAAAATTTAGATCAATTTCACGTTATTAAAAAGGGCTGAGAGTGTGCGTTCATCCTCCAGCTGCTTTCCAGTAAAGATCAACCTCTGCTGATCAGGAGGGATACCTTTTTTGTCCAGTCAGTGGCCCCCATTTATCAAGCTTGCGCAGATCTGAGTGTAGAATAGATCTGAGTGCAGATCTGAGTGCAGGATTCATCGTATGATAGGACACACGTGAGATTTATAAAAGGGTTCGCATCTGACCAATCTCAGTATACGTATGATCAGGTCTTGATAAATGCGGCGACTGAAATCGATCGTCATTAACATGTTTACGCCCTTAAATATTCATGGTTCAGAAGCCTCGCCCACTGAGGTCAAACATGAAAGAGGAGAAATATTAGAAAGATTGGAAACTTTTCCGAGCTGAAAGTGGATATCTTCATATCTGTGGTGGAAACTAACAAGGATTTTCTCTTTGGAAGCATCAAAACTGGTATAAAAGCAGTCCAGAAAACTCCTGTCTGGAGCAGGATTATGATGGCGGTGAACAGCGCTGCCACGGAATAGTGGACAGTGGCTGAAGTTTGAATAAATCATTAGTCAATAAGTTGCTCATGATGATAAATTAATATCTCATACATGCCTCATATTTTTTATTGCCATGACATAGGGTACGTTGCTCCTAATATTGAAAGTATTTAGTTTTAATTTGTTGCGTCTTCGTAATGTAGAGCAGACTGGAGAGTCTGACAGAGGCTGAACAAAAATAATTATTGTCACCAAATGGTGTGTTGCTGCCTCTGAGGCACATTTTTATGGATTTCTATTGGAATTTTACTTTCTAAACTTATACTTTACATGTCAGAATCCATGGATAAGGTCCTATCTCCTCTGTACAGCACCTTTGTGAAGTCTCTCGTCATTATTGTTCTCCAGGCTTCGGGTCTTTGTGTTGCACCAGCACAGCCAACGGCACTCCATTTGCCAGTGCAACATTGTGCAAAACTGTACTGGCCCAAATGATGTCCCGCACCCTTTCAGGAGTGTACAACAACGTCCCCGCTGCTGGGCCAAGACAGAGACACCTGCCTTTTAGGAGTCAAACGCAGCGCTCCACAGTGGCGCGTGTGCATCTGTGCGTAATGTTGAAACGGCGCTCCTGCTCTGTGGCAGTGTTTCTGGGCAGAGTTATCAAATAGGCCTATTCACTAAGGACATAACAAATTTATTTTGTTAAATTTTATTTACGTCCTAAACTTTAATGAAATCTGTCTGATTGTGCTTAATAACAGGTTTGAGGTTTGTTTATTAATAATTTTGAGACAGACATTTGCTGAACCGCTGATCAACACTGACTCAAACTTGCGTACATGATGTCAGACCTATCATGAGATTTGGTCGTAGCGTATGCTCACGTGCAGATTGATAAATGCCGATCCTCACGTCAAAATTTTCGTACGCAAGGTGTATGCAAGTTTTCTGCCGTACGCAAGCTTGATAAATGAGGGCCAGTGTGTGTGGGTTGAAGCAATGCAGTGACTATCACAGTGACTGAGAGATTTTGGCATTTTGCAAGCGGAGTGATACAGTGTCAGCGGGCTTCTGCACAAGTAAAAAAAAACAAACAAACATGAAGAAAGCAAGACGAAGTGTGGTGTGGGACCATTTTGAGTGGAAAAATGATGAAGTTTGCAACAATCACTGTGATGCCGTGTACAAGTAAAACACGAAAACGACCCCAATGATGTTCCACCTAAGGCTCATACATCCGACTGAGGTTAGTGAATCCACCGAGTGCTCTCAGTCTCAACCTACCATCAGGGACCAGATGTCCCCAATTTCAGGGGACAGTCCTCGGCTAAAGTTGTCCCTACAAATGTCCCCCATTTTAGCGTTTCATGAATAAGAAAAAAAAAAAAAAAAAAAACAACAGTTATGGTTGCCATGCGTGTGTGTGTGTGTGTGTGTGTGTGTGTGTGTGTGTGTGTGTGTGTGTGTGTGTGTGTGTGTGTGTGTGTACATTCTTCAGTAATAATAGAGGTAATAAAATGTTGAACTTTACACACAAATCTCAGCTTAATGTGATGCCTTTGAGTTAGTGATTTTACAGGAACACAAATTTACGAGAATAAAAAAGGAGAAAAGCAGGACATGAGAATGTAGATCTGCAAATGTGTGGCTCCTTTTCTTGTTTATGAGATTAGTCAAAATGTAACAACTTTTCTTTCACTCTATCACACACAACAGGTAAAAAAAAGGGTATTTATTTTCATACTGTGCTGGCTGACCTTGCACTCTAGAAGAACTAGAGCATCACTGAGCCTCAAAGACTAATGCACACACAACCCAACCTACACCAGTTTTTGTCCTCAGTTGTTGTGGAGAAAACTTAACCACACTCAAGTTCAAATGAAGTACAATAGACCTTCTTTGTGTTGTCTGTTCCTCACATAGACTGTATATACTATGGACAACTTGGTTCTGCCTACCGCCTGTAAACGGATTTGAAGCCAAATAGCTCTCGGTATTTCTGGGATTTTTCTTCATTTCCTGAAACCAGCGATGCACGCATTCAGCCACGCATTAGCCGAAAGTCGCTGTGATGACGCTCGGCTCAAACAGCGTATCCCCGGGTGAGCCACGCAATCCCTGAACGCCAATAGGCTGTATCAGGTGTCAATCATAGAAAACATGAACCCCCTAATAACTTTCAAAAACTGAGCTTCACAGAAAAAAGAGGACTTGAGCACAAACCAGTCTTACAATAACTACATGTCAACATTGCAAGCAGGGGGGAGAAAAATGTATGTTCTGTGTAATAAATTTCTAAAGTTGGTCCACAGCTCCATAAGCTTTGCTGGCGGAGGCGGGATTTATGACCAATGCTGCAGCCCATCAACAGAGGGTGCTGTTCTTGGAGTGGCTTCACCCAGCGAGGAGGCAGACTCTGTCCATTCTATATACAGTCTATGGTTCCTCACAGAGCTTCCTTCACTCTCCCAGTGTTTGCTCTGATAGTTCAAACTTCAGCTTGTTTACTCTCTGTGCGTCTTCTCAGGCAAACTATCCTTGCAGCACTTTTTAAACCTTTATTTGTTCAGACAAGCTCTGCTACCCTTTTTTATCCTTATTATGGCCACACTCACTCACACTCACTCTGCTACTTACATTCACACCAGGAGCTGTGAAGCAGTCAAATCACAGCTTCGCAGTTTGCTGCCACTGAGCTCCATTGTTGCTGTCACAGTTCTGCTTGAGTGTCTGTTCTATTTGAGGGCTTATTTTCTCTGGTTTACTATTTAAACATTACTCTTAGATAAAACAATAATAATAAAAACATCTTGACCAGAAACTCCCATTAAAAAACATCAGATTCATTTTTTTATATATTGTCATATGACATATACATAATGATGTTATGAGGCAGAGCAGTGCATGTCAAATTACATACTCACTTTGTGTGAATCTTGACTAAGGAAGCAAACTTCAAAAAGTTTCCACATGCTAGTATTCAAAAGTTCTTATTCAATTTTCCTTTTAATCACAACAATCTTGGAGAAAAAGACACAAAAAGTCATTATTTCCTTCTTCTGTCTCCTCTTTCTTTCTCTTGTCTTATTCTGTCTCTTTTCCCTCACAGAACTGGAGACAAATGTGTGTTGAATTTCAAACCTGGTGGGATGTTTTACAAAGAACTGCACAAAGTGGAAGGATACATCCAGGATAAGAGGTCAGAGTTTACATTGTTAGTGTTGTGATCTACTGCTCATGAAATAATGTTGAAATTGTGGTGGTTTTGTTCTAATCTGCTTTATCTTTTTCATGTTTTTTTTTCCACTGTCACTGTTTTTTTTTATCTGCTCTTTGCCACCTTTCTTGTCCCTCTGTGCTTTTTTCTCATCACTCTCCTGTTCCACCTTCATAATTCTGGTCTGTATCTTGTCTTTTTCTGTAAACCCATTTATTTTTCCTCTTCTTTCGATAATTTGTGCCCCATCCTATGTTCTGTCTTTCCCTCCGTGCAGCAAAAAGAAGCACTGTGTCATATATGGGAAGTGGACTGAGTGTATGTGGAGCGTGCACCCTCAGACTTATGAGGCATACAAGAAGTCTGAAAAGAAAGGAGACATCAAGAAACAAAGAAATGTAAGAATGAGTGAAATAAAGATGGACCTTCATTTTGTATTTGTTTTCAAATTAATCTCAGTCAGTTCAAAGTGTTTTAAATTCACTTAGAATTTGAATATTATTTCATGTTTGTGTTCTGTAACTACTCGATGAATTTGTGATTTAGCCTTGATTTCTTTTGGCTGTCAAAAGTGCTCTTGTGTGTTTTCTTGAGGTAAAACAACAGACTTAATCAGTACCAAGTTCTTAGGCTGTTGTTGTTGTTGTTTAAAGCCTTCCTGAAAAGGAGGCATTGATAATAACTGTTAATAAAGTATACATCAAGTTACTACATGTCATGTAAGGCGTGCGTAGCCCTGAAATTTGGATTGTACTGCAGTCAAAGTTACAATGAGTGTTCCTATCATTCCCAGGAGGAGCAGGAGGGTGCAGAGAATGATGATGCAGACGACATGCCTGAAGTCCAGGAGACGGTCTCTGTCATACCAGGAAGCACTTTGCTTTGGAGAGTAGATCCCAGACCTGCACATTCTGCTCAGGTATAGCAGTTAAACACACACACACACACGGAAAATAAACAACTGTGTTTCTCATCAGTTGTCTTGCATGTATAAGTCCAAGAAAATTAATGTTAAAGAAACAGCTAAATTTTTGTCTCAAAACTAAATCAACTAATCACGCTCTTCATATCCTTTACTCTGAATTATTCTTCTTTAGATGTACAACTTCACCAACTTTGCAATGTCTCTCAATGAGTTGGAGCCTGGCATGGATGCCATTGTGGCCCCCACCGACTGCCGCCTCAGGCCTGACATCAGAGCCATGGAGAATGGCAACATGGGTAATTCAAAAGATGAAGCCTACATCAATGTGTAATGGAGCTCTGTTTGGCTGAGAAGAGAAAAAGAAATCTCTGTTCCCTGTAAAAAAAAAAAATAAATCAAAGCCTAATCAGATTATTAACCCAACTATTAAAAACACTTCAGTGTGACTTCCTGCTGCTGAATAACATGTTAGAATCAGATCTCTAAGTGGTTTACTCAGCGGACCCAAAATGACAATAATAAGACAATGTTGCCATCTGCTGGATGCGTGCTGCTGTCTCATGTGATCCCATAGATCTCAGTAGATCACGATACAACAACTGTATCAAACCATATGTGTATTCTTGCACAAGCCTCTTCACTTTATCCATATAACAGTTAAATCAGTCAACAGTGTGTGTGTGTGTGTGTGTGTGTGTGTGTGTGTGTGTGTGTGTGTGTGTGTGTGTGTTTATTGCTCTTGTGCAGATGAGGCCAGTCAGGAGAAGGAGAGACTGGAGGAGAAACAGAGAGCAGCCAGAAAAGAGAGAGCCAAGAGTGAAGAAGAATGGTCGACAAGGTAGGAAACATGCAGGCTGAAACGCCATGCCCTTCAGTTTTTCATTTCATTGGAGATGGTAGGACAGGTCATAGTCTGCAGTGAGGCTTAAAATCAAAATTACCTGCAATAACATATAAAACAATAACGGCACCGTTATTGACATGGCAAAAAGTATGAGATAAAATTTGAATAAACCTTTCACTGTCTTAAACTTGTTGGGATTGTGATACACGCGTTTACTTAGTGATCTGCTGATGCTGAATCTGTTTCTGTGTTTTTTTTCAGATGGTTCCAGATGGGCACAAACCCACACACTGGCGCACAGAGCTGGCTCTACACAGGGGGCTACTTTAATAGGAACTACAAAGACCTGCCTGATATCTACTGATAGCTTGTTAGCCTTCATCATCCTCCTTGTCTCCAAAATCTGCGATTATCTACCTGTCAGCAAATTCTTTTAGCTTCAGCAAACTGAAAGAATGAAGATTTCCTTTTGTGTCCTTCATCATCAACATCTGTAAACTGACTGACACACCCAGCACAGACTGGAAGGACCGACAAAGGAGCCAGATACCTGTCCTACCTGGTCAAAGAGCGGCTTGCTTTGTGTCACCGCATCTTCAGGTCTCTTTTTGTGAACATTCAAAAGATTTGACATCCGCTTCTCATCATCCTGCAGGATTTTCTAAAGTAACAACCAGCAAATGTTTTCCATCTCTATGCTTCGGCACCTCCAAGAGCACAAGAACCATTTTCCTGCCTGACAGGTTTGAGAGGTCAGGACTGTACATTTAATCTCTTGATTGTACAGATATAAAAAAAAGTCACAGCCCAAAAACTTGCAGATTTAAAACCTCATTAAACACTTTTGTCTGAGGAACCTCCAAATGGTCAAAGTTACATTAAGATACAGAATGAATATGAATAGTAAGGTCATGAAGTTTTGGACATGGAGGGACTTCTGGTCAACCAGGAATCAGGGATGTAAATATTCCTTTGAAGATGGATCTGGAGCATGCTTTTTTGCAAAGTTAGTTTAAATTATATACTTTTACTACTCAAATAGGACGAGACAAATTTAGCTTAAGCAAAAGTTATTAATGTTCATGGGTTAGTTTTGGCCCACCCATCAACCTACTTATAATTATGCATTAAACTAAATGAGGACGTTTGCCAGAGAACAGAAAAGTGGAGTGTGCAGCTTTTGAGGCTTCAGAAAAGACCTAACACCTACAATTTGGGGTTCTCCTACATGAAAACAGAACTGTGTAAGAGCATGTGGAAGTGGTTGGTGAAATTGTAACTGTGTAAACACTTGGCCTTTGGCTTCTGTATGTCAGTAAGAATAGATTTTTGTATAACCTAGAGAAAAAAATGTACAGTGTGAATAGAGTTCACTCTGCTGGGGTTTGAAGACAAACATACAGCACAGTAGAAATACCACTGAATGAATGTTGATAAGGTCTGAAGCTTGGCTAACTCTGCTACTTCTTCTTCCTCCTCCTCCTCCTTCAAAGGGAGGCAAGAATCAGGCTGTAGTGGCAGATGAGAGATTCAAGATCCTGCCTCAAGGCACTTACTGAAAACACAGGAGTCTGGTTAAATTACATTGATGTTCGATCTAAAAGTCAGTGTCTGCATGTGCACTACATTCTGCACTACTTACAAGTCTAAACCCACCCCACAGAGTCCAAATCCACACTGTATAAAATGATTGTACAATTTGACGTGTAGTTCATTGCCATAATGCAAACAAGCACCATCTGTGTTGAAGTGAATGACAGTGGTAATAGAGAAACACTTGAGTTGATGTAACAAGTAATACATGCATACATGCACATTTGTCATGTGAATGAATGTCTAAATATGTACAGACACTTAAAGCCATATTAACTACCTGAGAGGCCGTTTGTTGCTTGAATGATGTTAATTTAACGAGATCACCTAAAGATTTAGGCTTTGAATCACACCATCTTCCTGTTCTGATTAAAAAACATTGTTATTCTTGTCAGTGTAATGAGGAAATGAAAGGGATTAGCTCCTCTGCTGTCCAGTGGGATTTGATGTGGGGAATAGATGGAATGGATGATGAAGAGGACTACAGGGAACAGACTTAGAGGCGATGAGGGTTGCAACTGTCACTTGTGGATGTATTAATTCATTGAAAGAGGGAAGCAATGCAGCTGTTGGATAGATGCATTAGAGCTGAAGTTGTACTGCACTGATAGAACACAAAAAGGGACACAGAAATTACCATTTTAGGAAGTGAAGAGATTAAAAAATAGACATGAAACTGTAGTCCGGTGTCTCTTACAGTCAAGTAGGGAATCTTCTCAGTACCGTGAGGTCTCTTTGAACCTGTCCATTGTTTTTTTTTTTCAATTTCAATTGTAGAAACTATCAACGACTCCAGAATTGACCTCCTTAGGTAGGTAGGTATTGAAAAAAGGAGCACATGCTCAATGAAACATCTGGTGCCGTGATTTCTCTTGTCAGTGGACATGTTTTAAATCACGCTGAACCCAGTAAATATTTAAGCTCAATGTGACAGCCCACCATCGCATTTACTCAATTTTGCATTGAAATTTCAGCCTGCAGTCCTGTTCTAGATTTAAATGTATGCCTGTATTCAGCATTGTTCTTGGGTTGTTTTTATGTGACCTGATAAAAACAGTTGTATACCTGTAATTCCAGAGATCGAAGGTTAAATTCAATTTCCAGGCTTTAAATTTGGTACCTGGGCCTAGTTGATGCAGACCAGCCTGTCTTAGGTTGTGTTTGAAACTGCTGGGAGCCTGTTCATATCTAACCCTGATTCATCTGAATATAAATTAAGGAACTGCACAAAAAACAGATAATCAACCTGCTTCACTGAATGTATAGAACATGGACCCCTTATTCATGCCCTTCTCGAAGAGAGAAACTGCAACACATCTTTTGCGCTGCTGTGCTGTGTTGGATATCCAGTAATATTCAGCATATTGGTTTTCCTACATTTGTTCTTTATATCTTAAAAACCAGGTGTTTAAAAATTACCTTTGCATCAGTGTGTCTAGGACCGTGCCGTATTCCTCTGTTCTAGCTCTATGCAACTTTTGCACCTCACCATGAACAGTACACGTCTGATCTGGGTTTCCACCAGAGCTCTACTTCCACTCTGACTTAAAGAAACTGGACACACATCTTTAGTGCATACGGTTACAGTTAGGTGGTCAGATATATCTCTAAATGTTGACTTCCTCATACCATATTCCTAACTGGGGAATGCTATTGTAACTTGAACTACTTGGCACTACAAATAGCCTTGTATCACAACTTGGACCAACTTCCTTTACATGTATGTGTTTTAAAATTCATTTCCAGGTCATGCTTTGTGCCTGGGTTTTCAGCTTCCTGTTTTTCATTTCCTCATGTTTGTTTTTGTTGTTATTCAATGTTTGTTATTTATGATGTTTGTGGTTTTATGAAAAAAAGAGTTTTGTTTCACTTTTGTTTTTAGGTTTTCTTTTCACTTGAAGACACATTGCTCTGTCTAAATAGGAGCAAAGCCTCTAACTAATATCCATCTTTAACAAATGAGCATTTATTGATGTTGTTAGACTTCTACTGTCAGAAATTTATTAATCAATTAATAATGTTTGATTACTTTCTGAGCTCTTCTGGCTGCTAGAAAACAAGTTTAAACCCTTGAACAAGTTCTATCTGTCACCCCAAAATCACTTTTTTTCACGCAACTCGTGATCCAAAAAGGTTCACAAACACTACTTCAGCTGCATGTCATTGAATGGTGTGAGAATAACACTGGTGAAATTCACTCATACAGAATCAAGTATCTCTGCATAAAGCTGTTTTTGACTGTAAAGGATTTCAGCTGTTGAGAATATCTAATAAACACATTTCCAAAACCTCCAGTTCAGATTCGGACACAATCACATGACTGTTCTGTCAGTAAATTAGATCACGGTTTTAAGTTGCTTTGCATGTTGGTCCTTCCATTTTAGTTCACCCTCCCTCTCTTGGACTGTGTCATGGGGCTATCAATGTTATAATTACTATGTGTAAGTGCTGCACAGAAGTAATCACAAGCAAAATGGCATATTATTTTGTGCAATTGATTTATTTTTATAGTATTTAAACCGTTTTTGGTGAATACATTGTACCAGATGTTTTATTTTGAGGTGGGGGACAGTTAAGGGATCATACCCAGTCCGTGGACAGTTTGATAGATGCATAAACAGGGACTATACTAATAAAATCCTAATTTCAATTTTTGACTTTGTCTCCTTTTTGTAGTGCAGGATCCCAACAAGAAGTTAAAGCTACTGTGGGGAATTTTCGATGTCTAAAAGCAAATGTGGCAAAATCTGACCAGACTGAGGTTTTCTGTGCTGTAGGACGGTTGATTTAACCCTTCTTACAGACTAAAGAAACACTGAATGTAGTGCACACGTATGAACAGATTGTGTCTTTGTGCAGTTGTATTTAGGATAGAATACAAAAGATTCCTAGGTTCTCAGGAAAAATGTTTGAAAATAATCTTTAAGCCTTTGTGTGTTGTGCAAAGAAAAAAAAAGTGTGAAATGTTTAAATGAAGTCCAAATACGAGTTTTATTTGAACTTGATGTCATGATGCAGTGAGTGAAATATGACAAGCTAAAATAAGAGCTTACACAACAGCATCGCTTTGTGTTTTTATGCATTTGTCTTTTATTTATTTTTCCTGATTGAAATGTATTGTAAGGTCATAATTTGTCATTCATCACATTACATGGCATGATGCACCAGGTCTACTACACCCATTTACAGAAGGAATACACGGAAACATACACAAGGTTTTACAATGGGGAAACAGGAAAGTTTAGCTCATTGCACTTACAACAGTGAATGGAACACTTTGTAGTCATTTTAGGCTCTCATCCTTTTTTCTGTATTTTATTTTCACCCTCTTTTCATCATTCAATTTGATTATTTTATATATTTATATATATTTTTACACATCTCCATGGTTCAAATCATCCGCACACCCCTCATCATCTCCAATACCCCATAACATGATCTATCTCCCCCCCCCAAAAAATGGATGGAAGCCAGAATATTTTTCCCTTTTTTTGTTTTCAGGTAATCTCATTTTACAAACACAACATGTATAGAAACTCTGCACAGACCAATGTTTTTTTTTTTTTTCATATCCGAATACGATTTTTAATGAATTTGAAACAGTCCGCACGAGCAAACCACAAACATACACAATGAGTTTTTTATAAGTTTTTCAAATCAACAACTGCTCTGGTTTAGTGTTTTGTCTTCACTCACATGTGGGCAAGGAAGTTGAGGTCACACACACATCAGCTTGTGCGTCTTCTCTCATGCCTGCCTGCGTGCGTGTGTGTTTACACTTGTGTGTGTTGTGGTCACTTTGAGATTTTCATGTTGTACAAACATGTCCTCAATGGCATTTACATATTTTAGTTTGGTAAAAGCGAACTCTGGTCAGGATTTACTTGGTATTTACACTGGACAAAGTATGGCAGCCCGTGAGGTGGGAGGTCAAAGGGGCTAAAAAGGTCAAGAGACGGGTGGGGGGAGGTGTCCCGATCATGCACTTGTAATTTTACTTGAATGGCTCATACAGGTGAAAGATGAAAAAGCACTCCCTGATGGTTTTACAGTGAAAGAAGTACTTGGTAGCTTTTCTCTCAGGGTTTGTTACAGCATTCTTACCTTCTCTAAACAACCTCTCACCTAGAAAACATTTATACTTATATATTTATTTATATATATTTATAGATATATTTGTGACTTTTTAAAACTTTCTCCGGTCCTGCTATACATCAACTGTCTGTCACGACTGCTCATGCAGTTACTACACTACATACTGTACAAGCACTGTTAGCTACCTTTTTGGTTAAGACTCTGTTGGATTCAAAGATGACTTGAAGCATCTAGAGATCTGATGGAGGATCTGATATCAACGGCTACATGTCAAGTTTCTCCTTTTTTATTGCAAACTCATAATAATGAAAAACTTTTGCTTCAAAACAACTGAGTGTAACATTTCTCTATGAGTATTAACAGAATTTAAATTGAGACATTTTCACATGATTTTTTTTTCTCAGATTTTTAAAGTATGGAGGTTTGAGAAAAGGTCTTCCTATGCTGACTTTGATTTGCTAACATTTTTATTTGGAACTGAATTCTAAGTTTGACTTTTGGTTCTTTTCTACATTTGTGCTTCAAAAAACAGGTGAGCGTGGTGCGAGTCTGACCACAGGTGATTGCTGTGATCTGAAACAAAGACCTTAGCGTTCCTGGGTTTAGACAGAGACCACTTCTGGCTAGAGGGCAGTAACAGAATGGCTTTCTTCAGTGACCAGTGTTGTTTTGTGTAAGCCCTTGCTGCTATGCATATTAAGGTCACCTTGAGTGGCTGTTTTCACACAGGAGCAACAAATGTGACGTATTTGCACATTTGGAATGAAATGGCTGAGTCATCAACATGTTACCAGATCCCTCTACTTATTACTAGCTAGGGAAAGACCACATCTGTGTCACATGGTGTGGAACATCAGATTTATTGCACCTGCATAAACCCATCCATTGTTTTCTATTGTTTATTGGACATCTTTGTTGCAGTGATGTTTTTAATGCTTGCTTTCCTGAGGCAAAAGTGATTGAAGATTTTATTGAACCTGTCATATTTGCACAAACTTCCAAAACATAACACCTCCAGTAGAGGAAGTTAGTTTCAGTTGAGGTTACCCTAAATTTGCTTTAACCTTTTGGTCTACTGAAGTGCTGTCTACTACTATGCGACCCTGATGGAGACAACACTGTGGGGGCAGTGAAACTGTGAAAAGGTGCCCCAGGATCTGAGCTGCACCTCATCTAGAAGCCACATACACAAAGAGAAGAAAGAAACAGATCCAATCACAGCCAGAATGATCAAAGTGAGTCTACAAAAGTATAAATAAATATAGTAAATACATATGGTTGACATAACAGACAATTTTAGAGGTAAGCCTTTTCAAAATAGACTATCACTTGAGAGCACACTGGCATTTTTGTTTGATAGACAGTAACTAGGAGATGACATTGATGACCGAAAAAGCAGACTTAGAGAGTTTTGCGCTCAGGCAAACTTGCAAACAGAGGAGAATATCCTCCTAAAATTGGATTATTCTGGATGTGCTTAAATCAAGCAGCTGATAAATCAGCACAAAGACAAATTTACACTTTATATGTCAGAAGAGTTCAGACCTATCTCCTTCCTCTCTCTCTGCCCTGCCAGCTCTTATTACTGCTCAGTATGATAAAATAAATTCTCACATTGATAAATCATCTCATAAATGTGTCACAACAAAAAAATATATATTCTGACTTCTTTTACCATGTCAGTGTTTTTCGGTCTTGCTCAGATGAAGTTTGGGAATTTTGAATGAGTTAGGAGTTAGGGGGTGTTTTCATACTGCATAGCCACCTATTTTAAACTCTGTATTTTCATAAATAGCTTCTCTATTTAAGTATATTAACTGCGTCACAGCATGTTGGGTTTGATAGACTTAAAGATATTTATTTTGATTTCCGAGGTACAGCGACTTGTTTTCCACAGTGTAGTTAGCTTATAAATCTTAATCTGTCGTGGCAGTGCACTTTTGAACACTCATACACACGCACACAAACTCGCTCTTACACCACTTACTTGCATTTAGGAATGCCTAGAATAGTGCTTTATTTAAAGCCCATAGCAGTATTTATCACTATGATAGAGTGTAGTTTATCTATTATTCTATATGTATATTTAGGCATTTGAATTGGCTTCATGTTGACCTAAATTGTCTGGAATATCCTCTCTGCAACATGAGAACAGGGGTGACCCGAAAATATTGGACCTTTTCTTCTCCACCCCTGTGCAAACAAAGACTTGATAAGGACATATACTGCAGTATTTATAGATGTAATCTTTTCTCATAAAAATCTGTCTTTCTCTGAATAAGACTCTTGACATCTTTTCTCCACTTACTTGAAGGTACCTCTTAATTATTGGTCTTTAAAACATCTTTTATGACTGTCATTTGCACATTTTTGTTTAATCTTGTAGCAAATCTTTCAGTAGACCCCCTTTGGCAAAGGTCAGAGTTGAAGAGGAGAGGGGATCCTGGTCATGCCAGGTCAAGCTCAACACAGACCCTTCTGATTTCACAAATGACCAAAGACCTAAAATTAATCTCATAATTTGAAATATAAGGAGTTGCACAAAAATCAATCTCAATATTAAAAATCAATCAGGTGAGATAACAATGATTGTGTGACTATTTCCATTTTTGTGTTTTCACTTCCTGTTTCGGTTTTTCTAAATATGATTCATTGCATAGAAGGACTGGAGATGAGAGGTTGCCTCTTCTGCCCACCTATTTTCTTGTGGTTAAACTTGTGTTTGTCTTGTTTTCTTTTCTTTTCCACATTGTATGATGGTTGTTAAATACACGCATACAGATCTTCACACACATACAAACATTAGGAACAGAACAATATAGAGGTGACTTTGAGGTTTCTTCTGCGCCGGGCAGCATGCGAAGGTTCCCAGCGAGCGTTCACACAGACAATATACAGCAGAAGTCGGTTGGTTCATTGAAGGCCTCACAATATTTGGCCCGACAGAGTACTTTTTGAGTACCAAACCGCAGATCCCACAATGCACTGCAGGAGCAACAGCAGGGAGAACACTGACCTGAGAAGTATCCATGACAACTGACAGTCTGAGAGCGAGGTTTTTTGGGGGTTGGGTTGCAGGCCTGGACGGCACCACGATAGAAAATGAAAAGTTAAAAAAGGCGAGTGGCTTTGTGACATGACCAAGTGTGATGTTTTTGGTTCCTCAGTCACTTGAGTTCTGATATTTTTCTCTCTTTTTGACACCATTTTCCAGTGTGCTTTCCCGTGCACTGTGCACAGTTGACAGAGTGAAGATGCATGCTGATACACACCTACATGTAAGGAGCTAGACGGTGCTTTCCCAAGACCCCATCCATCTCCGAGGCTCAGAAGATTCACATTGAGACCCAAACCCCCACGGGTGGCAACGTTGAGTCCAGTTTTGTCGTAAAGTGTGACTTGTCTGCTTTTCAGTGCCTCTCTGCTGCCCTGCAGTGCTGCGGATCAGTCTTCAGCTGGCTGATACCAGCAGCTTTCACTCCGATCCGCTGACTGAAGACATGATGTCTCACTATCGGTTGGAGGAGAAAATCTGGGTGGTACCAAACTCTCATTTTTAAGTGAGCTGTTCTCTGGTGTATAAGTACAGCAGTGATACATTATTGGAGTACGATTTGTGTCAAGTTAAAGTCAGACTTATGATTCATCAGTGGAAAATTAGACAGATGGAGGCAACACATTACTGTCCCATCATTTTGAAAATGACACAAGATTGTGCTCTTAACGTTCTTACACCTACTCTATTGCTTTTATATGTATTGATAATAAATAAGAATCAGAAAATTGACAGGGGGCTTAATGAAGGTAACAAAACATTACAAAACATAATTCAAAGAAAAATATCACCAATAATTATCAAAAAGAAATGGAATCTTAAAAATATAAATTAATCTCACTGTGGCCAGTGTTCCAGCTGATATAACTACATGAAAAAAGTGCGTGATGAAAATATGTGTTCACAGGGTGTAATAAAAAATATGCCACTTTGACTTCAAAATAAAATATTCTTAAATGATTAAGGCGATATTGGTAACCTGTAACAAAAAGTAAAAACCAGGCAAATAACAAAACTAAACTCTAAATTAGAAAACAATAAAAGACGACCAAAGAAATGACAACCATCTACAACATGTGAAATAGATGAGGGCCATGTTGTGGAGCAGTTTCAAAGAACCCTACTACCACAAGAAGTGCAGGTAAATGTTGTCTTAATGGCTTTATAATGGCTGAAAAACAACCCAATCACAAACACTCTGATTACCCATCCAGATTTGTGTTCTGTAAAAAACCACAAAAGGCTCCTCTTATTCCCGTGGCTCAATTCCTGTGTGTTGCTCCAGAAATCTTTCTTCTTTGTTAAGAGTTTACATTTTCTTGCTCAAATGTGTATCCCAGTTTTCTTATGGCCTCTGTTTAGTGATGATGAACAGTGTAAGGTCTTGGATATAAAGTTCCATGCATTCCAAATTCCTACATTTTTTTTAAATCCACTGTACACTTCTTTAAAGACATGGCAAGATTATTGGACGGGAATTAGAAAGAAAGAAGACTCAGCATTCAAGAAATTCGAAGAAGAGTGGAAGCAAGAGGTTTTAAGAGTTCCAATCTGGAATGTCGATAGAAACAGAGCAAACCGTAAATAGAAACACACCAACACACCACTACTCTGTGTGTGTGTGTGTGTGTGTGTGTGTGTGTGTGTGTGTGTGTGTGTGTGTGTGTGTGTGTGTGTGTGTGTGTGTGTGTTAGTGTGTACACCGTTATCATTGTCTTTTTCATTCAATGAGACAAATCCTTTTGTTTCCTTCATGGTGGTTAATGTAATAGGAAGTCTTTAGTACCAGAAAAGCCTAAATAAAGGTCGATCCCTCTTCCCTTACTTGTTTTTTTTCTCTGAGAGGAGATAGAAGAGGGAGAGAGGCAGGAGGTCGGTGCTAGCCGGAGCACAGGACATTGAAATCAAGGATCCTAGCATGCCATTATGCTTGTAGCACAGATACCTTTTTTCCTTGTGTAATGTTAGCAGCTGTAATACGAAGAATGAAATCATCAGCGTACTGGAGCAGAGCTGGACCTTTTTTTTTCTTTACTTCCATCTGAGAGGCTGAAAGGCTGAGATGGTGGATGAATTCCATGACGTCTTCTTATCTTCAGCACTTGCTTCAATCTCAGGTAATGCTTGTATACCTCCCTCTGCTGGCACGGAAGAAGAGCAGCAAAAACAAAATCCCATTCTTATTTTTTGGTGCCAGTTTCCCCTTTGTAATCAAAAGCTGAGATGTGCCAGACTGCTTTAGGTCCAGGGTTCCACTGTGGACTGGTGGAGTCTGTTTCTTTGGCTGGGAGCCTGGATGGAGGATACTCTTGCTGAAGATGGAAGTTGGCTTGAAATGATCTGTAAGAAAACATATAAGGACAAATTAGTCAAAAATATGGAGCACCACATTCACACACACACACACACACACACACACACACACACACACACACACACACACACACATATATATATATGTGTGTGTATATATATAGTGTATATATATATATATACACACACACACACACATATATATATATATATATGTGTGTGTGTGTGTGTGTGTATGTATGTATATATGCCATAACTATGTTGTGCACTATGAAAACAATCCTCACACAGACTACACAATGGAAAGGATAGGGTAAGTTACATTAAGTACACAGAGGGCTTTTTGCCCAGTATTCAACAGTTGTTTTATTTAACAACATATCAGTAAATTTAGTTTTGGTTCCTTTTGTTAATTAAAAACAAACAAACAAACAAAACAAAAAAAAAAACAGAAAACAAAACAAAAAACAAACAAGCAAAACAAAACAAACAAACAAAAAAACAAAAACAAAAGGGGCCTCTCTGCTGAAATGAAGGTGTCGATGATGTAAAATTGTGTTAGGCTTTAGAAGGTGGGTTAGTACAGGGAGTCAGCTGCCCATCCACAGGGCACACTAAATGTAGTCTTTAAGCTCATGAGGGGTGCCATCCATCTCTATGTATTGAGAGCCAATTTTCTCCCAAGAGCTCAATATGCCAGATTACAAGTAAGAATGATGACAAAGAAAGCTACGAAGTGAATCCTGTTCTCTGTTAAAAGTGAAATGACCAGAGTGAAAAAAAATTCAGAAAAAAGCAGAGCTTTTATTTACAGTGCATCCGGAAAGTATTCATACCACTTCACTTTTTCCACATTTTGTTATGTTACAGCCTTATTCCAAAATGGATTAAATTCCCTTTTACCTTCAAAAATTCTACTCAAAATACCTGATAATGACAACGCGAAAAGCTTTTTTTAGAACATTTTGCAAATTTATTAAAAATAAGACTCAAATGTTGCATATACATAAGTATACACACCATAGACTGTATATACTATGGACAACTTGGTTCCGCCTACCGCCTGTATAGGGATTTGAAGCCAAATAGCTCTCGATATTTCTGGGATTTTTCTTCATTTCCTGAAACCAGCGCTGCGCAGTAGCGAAGCGCGCATTCGGCCGCGCAGTTGCCGAGAGTCGCTGTGATGACGCTTGGCTCAAACAGCATATCCCTCGGGTGAGCTACGCAATCCCTGAACGCCCATAGGCTGTATCAAGTGTCAATCATAGAAAACATGAACCCCCTAATAACTTTTAAAAACTGAGCTTCACAGAAAAAAGAGGACTTGAGCACAAACTAGTCTTACAATAACTACATGTCAACATCACAACCAGGGAGAAAAATGTATATTCTGTGTAAAAAATTTCTAAAGTTTGTCCACAGCCCCATAAGCTTCGCTGGCGGAGGCGGGATTTATGACCTATACTGCAGCCCATCAACAGAGGGTGCTGTTCTCAGAGTGGCTTCACCCAGCAAGGAGGCAGACTCTGTCCATTCTTTATACAGTATGATTCACACTCTTTACTCAAAACTTGGTCAAAGCACCTTTGGCAGCGATTACAGCCTCCAGTCTTCTTGTGTATGATGCAACAAGCTTGGCACACCTGGATTTGGGGAGTTTTTCCCCTTCTTCCTTGCACATCTTCTCAAGCTCAGTGAGGTTGGATGGGCAGCGTCGGTGCACAGCTACTTTCAGGTCTTTCCAAATATGTTCAATTGGGTTCAAGTCTGGGCTCTGGCTGGGCCACTCAAGGACATTCAGAGACTTGTCCAAAAGCCACTCCTTTGTCTTCTTGGCCGTGTGCTTGGGGTCATTGTCATGCTGGAAGATGAAGCATCGCCTCAGTCGAAGGTCTCGAGTGCTCTGGAGCAGGTTTTTATCAAGGATTTCAATGTACTTAGCTGCATTCCTTTTTCCCTCGATCCTGACAAGTCTCCCAGTTCCTGCCGCTGAAAAACATCCCCACAGCATGATGCTGCCACCACCATACTTCACTGTAGGGATGGTATTGGCGAGGAGCGTTGCCTGGTTTCCTCTTGACATGACGCTTGGCATTCAGGCCAAAGAGTTTGATCTTCATTTCATCAGACCAGAGAATTTTGTTTCTCCTGGTCTGTGAGTCCTTCTAGCAAAGTCCAAGCGGGCTGTCATGTGCTTTTTACTGAGGAGTGGCTTCTGTCTGGCCACTCTCCCATAAATGCCTGACTGGTGGAGTGCTACAGAGATGGTGGTCCCTCTGTAGGGTTCTCCCATCTCCTCAGAGGAACGCTGGAGCTCTGTCAGAGTGACCATCGGGGTTCTTGGTCACCTCCCTGACCAAGGCCCTTCTCCCCTGCTTGCTCATTTTGGCTGGGCGGCCAGCTCTAGGAAGAGTCCTGGTGGTTCCAAACGTCTTCCATTTCTCAATGATGGAGACCACTGTGCTTTTTGGGATCTTCAATACAGCAGATATTTTTCTGTAACCTTCCCCAGATCTGTGCACCGAGGTCTACAGACAATTTGAATTCACGGCTTGGTTTGTGCTCTGACGTGCTCCGTCAGCTGTGGGATCTTATATAGACAGGTGTGGCTTTCCAAATCATGTCCAATCAGCTGAATTTGCCACAGGTGGACTGCAATCAAGTTGGAGGAACATTTCAAGGCTGATCAGTGGAAACAGGATGCACCTGAGCTCAATTTTGAGTTTTATAGCAAAGGGTGTGAATACTTATGTATATGCAACATTTGAGTGTCTCATTTTTAATAAATTTGCAAAATGTTCTAAAAAAAGTTTTTCGCTTTGTCATTATGGGGTATTTTGTGTAAAATTTTTGAGGGAAAAAGGGAATTTAATCCATTTTGAAATAAGGCTGTAACATAACAAAATGTGGAAAAAGTGAAGTGGTATGAATACTTTCCTGATGCACTGTACATTAACATTCACACATACTATCATGTACTAATAACCATTTCCACCATGAACAATCTATTCAAGGCAAAAAATAAACAGCCAGAGATCCCAACTATGACAGTCTCACCTGACACAGCAACTGTTGGTTTAACAAGAACAGTTACCTCAAATAACAGCAGAGTGATGTCACTTGGAGGTTTTGCCTCTTGAAATGTGCTCTACACTCTAAGGTAAATGCTTTTAAGAAGCAACAACCAGCCATGTGACCTTTGTCTCAGTATCATTTAAATATGTTTGTGTTTGAATACAAAAATAATGACTGCACGTTTTAGACATACTGTCTCAAACAATGTGGTAAAACTGACCCTGTATTCAGTGATTTGATTAACAGTTGTCAGATCAGTTTATCAAACCATCAGAAACTGCTGCCAGTAACCACTGGCCCAAAAATAACACCAGCCCTGAAATTACAATTACAATTTACAAGCAGGACAAAGTGAAATTCCAAGCCTCATCAGGTATCAGACTTAGGCCCGGACTACACGTATATGGATATTTATTTATCAGGATATTTTTGTACTCCCATCTAAATAAATGTATCTGTCCACACGTGTTCGTTCTCAAAAATATCTGCGTCCACACGTAGCCTTCAAACTCAATCCTATCTGGTGCCGCTTAAAAAAAATTCAGGAACAAAGCTAACTGATTGGCCGATGAATCGTAACAGCGTGATGCGTCATGCATTGTTTGCGGAAGCTACGCTAGTGCGTCGGGTCCATGTGACGGACCATGTGACCAATAAAAGTATTGGCCGCAGCAGACGCGTCTGTGGGCTGACTGACTGGTGGATGTAATTGTATAAAACAAGCTTCACTTGCAAGGCTGAAATTAGCCCCAAAAGGGCAAAACAAACGTAAAGAATACCCTGTCTGTCCGCCATCGTTGTTGTTATTTTTCTTTTTAATTCGCATGCGCGAGCTGCGGTTTGACGTCATCGATCCGTAAAAATCCAACCACACGAATCCACTACGGATACGGGATACAGATATTTTTTTATTTCTCCACTTGTTTTTCCGGATTCAGATTAATCCGGTTTGAGTGCTCCAAACTCCCGTTTTGGTGTGGTAGGGAGGCCTAATCGGACATAAATATGTGCGGTTTGAAATATATCCGCATTCGTGTAGTTCGGGCCTTAGAAAGTTTTTTGTGTCTTCAATGAGATTTACAGGCTGTCTCTGCCCCCATCATGAACTTCTGTTTCCTGGTGTTTCCTAAATGGATACGCACATCCTGTTAGAATCACTGCCTCCTGGTTTTCTTCCCATTGTGGCTGACCCAGATTCACATGCTGCGTATTTATATGTGCTAAGGACCAAACTTAATCTGTTTCAGTGAGCACAGGCCCCCAAAGGCCTGAAACACAACACACACACATATACAGACACACACAAAAACACAGGCATGATGATGGACACAGAGATGCTTGAGTCTGAGCAAAGGTGACTTTTTTTTTTTTTAACAAAATGGGAATGCCCTGCACAAAAAATGAGCTCAACTGAGAAAATCAGTTAACATGGTAAAAAAATCAGCTGATTTGCTTTGAGTCCCCCTGAGTTCTTTAAGTGGGTTTGGAGTGAGATGTTTAACCACCACATACATGCTAAGGACCTGGAGCCGTATGCACGTTGCTTGGCAAAACGCGTTTAGCGGGCTAAACGCGTTTAACTCCTAAATGCCAAAAATGTCGGTATGCACGTCACTTCGTATAGCCGTTCCTATACGGATTTTCGCGTTTAAAGTTATCGCACCTCTGGGGGTCCAATAGCGGGTCTAAACGCGTTTAAATATGGCGGCACTCTTGTTGTTCCAAGGAAGACAGCGGCGACAATTGCATTGAAACAGGATTTTTCGTGACAGAAAACACCCCTTCGACATGTATGACGACCACGAAGTGGTAACGTTACATGCTCAAGTTGTATTTCTTCAAGAAGTACTGGGACTTCTTCGTCGCTGAAATTTGACTTCCGTACACGTTTAGCCGGCTTATCCATGGTTGAAAACGGCCGTTCTCAACCGAAAGTACACAACACTTAAAACAGACCGGTTGACCCAATTCTATAAATATCTTTACCGTTTAAGACACAGTAAACGCGGTTAGCTATACGGTTCCGTTTACAGCATTGTGCATACCAAAATCGTATAGGAACTAAACGCGTTTAAGGCCCGTATAACTAAACGCGTTTAAGCCCTAATCGCGTTTATGCTAAACGCTTTCAACGTGCATACGGGCCCTGATCTACTAAGATCGCATGTGCAAACAAAAAAATTGTATGCGCTGTTAGGAGGCGTGTTGCGGGTGATCTACTATCATTGTGTGTAGTACGGACCGCCCTAATAAATGAGGATTTTGCGTGTGCTATCGGTTGTTACCATGGAGAATTTTTGAGAGCAGAGTGGTAGATGAAAAATGAAGTTTGAAGCCATGGAGTTGCGCCTATCATTTTGGGGTACTGCATAAAAGGCAAGGGAAGTTTATCTGTATAGCACTATTCATACGCAAGGGAATTAAAAGTACTTTACTGATGCAAGAAAATATTTTGAAATTAAAAAAAAAAAGATTCAGACCATTTAAAATCAATAAGACAAAGAGATGCATTTTTTTGACTGTTCCGTGTCGACCTAATTGTTTATGAAAACAGTCATTACCAGAAAAATGAAATAAACAACAAGCTTTGAGACCCAGAGCTCCTCAGCACTCAGCCACAGTCTCCCAAGAATTAGCCTGTTTTGTGTTATTTACTGCTTCTCGAGTGTGTGGGAATTGGACATACTTGCCCATCCTGTGTGACATAGCATTCAACACCTGGGACAGCACACCAGAAAAACTACTCTGTGAGATGCACTAACGATGGTGCACTGAATGATCCCAGCAGCTCAAAATGGCATTACTATTTCTATTACTCTACTATTTTTAAAATCTCTAAAATGAGATTCAAGCAATTTAAAATCAATAAGATAAAGAGATAATTTTTTTTCAACTGTCCTGTATTTCACCTATTTATTTATCCCTCCTCTTGTGTTAAATGCTTAGAAGAAACACTTAAAATAGCTTTTTTGCATCAAGACTTTTTGACTTTGTCAGGAACATCTATTTCAACAAAATAAAAATTAAAAATAAATTGACTAAATTATAAAATGTTCTTATTAAAATTATGGCACTTGTTGTGTTGGGGTCGCTGTTGACCCAGTTAGATCAATATCTAATAATTAGAGCAAAAACTAAAATCATAAGTGCACTGTCAGTCAGATTCTCTTCCAATTATGTGAGATTGAGGAAAGTCTCATTTTCTATGTTTTTCCCCGCACAAAAAACAATGTCGGGCGTGTCCAGACATGTAAGATAAATTCAGTATAAATGTCTGTGTGAGAGGTATACTGACAAATAAAGGCCCAGAGGCCCACTAAAAAAACTATTATAAGCAATATTTTCATGGGTAATGAAGGTAGCCTGCAGTAACCAAATTAGATGATAGAGAATTGTTTTAAGTGTAATTTACAGCTGATTTAAGACACGGGTCAAAACTGACCCTTAACAAGGTGGGTGTATAGTAAAAGCTAACACAGGAGGAAGGTTATTAAAACCGTTATTTACCAAAAAATCGAAATAATTCACAAGCTTTTAGACCTGGATCTCCCCAGCAATCACTCTCCAAGACTGACTATGATGATCCCCTCAGTAATAGTACAAACAAGTGAAAACACACAGAAAGAAAGCTGATAAGGACGTGTTTCTTTTGACTGAGAGAAGGGTGAGAAAAGACAGAAAAATGTGAGAAAGTAAGAGACAGTAATAAAAAAAGGGACAAAAACAGTGATGTGTGACAGCGGGACGCCTGGTGTGAGAGAATGGACAGAGTTGTCTTTGCAGCAGTCACATGAGGCGGTTAATCAGGGCCCGCCTGCACACACAGTAACACAGGCTCACATTAGCTTTCATGGCACACACTGTTTGCAGTATTCTGCACACTAAAATATAACAACAACATCAATGCTTGCTAATCCCCCAATGGCAATGCACCAAGACAAAAATGGCTACTCAAAAAAAATTAAAAAGAGCAACAGATTGCCTAATCCCTGTCTCTATTTTTACATCTCCAACTCACAGATCCACATTCTGCAGAAAGCCCATATTGGTGGTCCCACACTAACTTTTCAACCAGGCAGAGTTCATTTGCAAATGCAAACTGTATGTTTTCCTGTGCTGATGCAAACCGATAATATCCTTTCTGAAAATTATAATGGACATACATTATTTACTCTGGTATATACTTTAAAGAGGACATGAAAAACACCACATTAGCATCCTCAGGTGGTAAAAAAATCAATTAGAAGAGAGTCTGAAATATATATATATATATATAGTTTTTTGTGTGTAAAAAAATCTGCTGTTTAATAGGAAAACAACTTTCAAGAGTGTATTTACGACATGCGCACAGTGCCATCTTGAGTTTAAGACAGTTGTGACGTCACGGGTTGTGCAGGAACAGAGCGGCAAGAGTACCCAGATGCAGCGCAAGATGGCGGACCCAAAGATGAAAAAACGCAATAACAAAACGCAATACATTTCCGCATTACCTCCGATTGGCGCAATGAATTTCCGCATTACCTCCGATTGGCGGACCCAAAACATGAACTTCCGCTTTGCGATGCCAGAACAGTAGGTGGCGGTATGCACCTACACTTTCTGACGGCAAAATTTACAGAAGAAGAAGAACTCTCAGGAAGTTTGAAAAGAAGCAAGCCGTCCGCATTCATTCAATCTCACCTCCGACCCACTCAAACTAACCCTAACCCTGCATTCCATTGTTTCCATCATGGGAAATCTAAGTGACGCTCTCAAATTAACAGGAACATTGCGCAGAAGATATGTCCAGGGCAATGGACTGAGAAAACGGGCAGAGATTTGGAGGTATTTGTGCATGCTCTATATTACAGTTGAAAAGTGTATAACAGCTTTCCAATGCTGTTACTTGTGGCGAACACCTTTTTGCTTGATTTGATGCGGGCCCGCAGGTGGAATAATGTCACATGTCACACACATTTTCTGTTGTTTTGATTTATTTACTCATTCATCATTTTATGTGCGCACCTCTCCTAATCAACCCACCCATTAAATAGACAGGCACAATAGCACCATCTGCTGGCACAAAAATACATAACAATAAACTGCAAAACCCCAATCTGGCTCCTACAAAGTGTATGTGACAAGATGATTAACGTTTGCTTTTGTTAAATCAGGGCTTCCCCAGCCAGGACTTCGGCTCAGACTGTGGCATATTCATGTTGATGGTGGGTCATAACGAGCTGTAATGCACAAATATTGTATCTAGAATAACTTTCCAACATGGACTTTTTTAAAGTTATCTCACATGTTGTCTCATAATTTTTTTTTTAAAGTCTGCCATGTACATCGTTATGGAGTCACAGTTTGACTACTCAGTTGTAAGTACTTTTCAACACGCAGTGTCATCCTCAAGATTGTATTTTGTATTGTGCACTAAAATGAAATACAAACAACAATTTCAGCATGACATGCCTGTTTTGCGGCGATGGTGGTGCCTGTTGCTCCTGGAGAACAATTCTTTGAACAGGTAGACAGTTTAAGTAAACTAGATGTCCTAATTAACTGGAAGACAATCAATATATTGTACTTAAAGATATATTGTCATTACAGTTGTGGGAAAATCTTCGCCCACTGGACCAAAGAATGTCAAGAGCTCATTGCTGGAGAGCATACTCCGGTCTTCAGTCTAAAGAGGAAGGCAGAGCAGCAGGACATAGAGGTTAGAAAATTGCCTTCTAAAAACAGTATTATCTCAGTGGGAGTCCTTCAAAATGCACACAGTTGTATGGATCAACATTGTCTCGATGTATTTGGTAATTGATGTTACTTTTCAAATTGCCTTGTTAAGGAAACCATGACGCAGACGGCATCGGATGTCCAAAGAATGTGCATGGCAGATTCAATGCAATTCTGTGTCTACCAGACATCGAACAACACAGGAGAGAGGTGTGTTGCAGACTCAATTTAATAAATGCAATTATCGGGGCCTATTCAGTGATTTTCCATGAAGTGACCACTTTTACATATAGTTTAAATGCACGAATCATGCAGGAAAATTATTTATACATTCAAATGTGCTGCAGAGGTATAATCAATTGGACAGCGTGTTTGTTTAATATTATGTTTGTCTCTCATTTGATCAGATTGCTTTACCCTGAGGTAAACTTCATGAAATGGGTCCAGTGCAAGACGTGCAGGGGCTGGCTGCATCAGGATTGTGCTGGGATTGAAATGGAGCCGTTTGACTGCGGGTGCGAGGACTCCATTGAGCATCCTCGGTATAACATAATTTATCAAGGAAACATAGTATCAGTCAAAAATACGAGGCTCAAAGGATGAAAAAATGAGGGCTTGCTCTTTTTCTTATTTCTCTGCAGGATCAAGGATGCTGTTGACAGTGGAGGAATTCATGCTGTCTTTTCTAAGACACAGATCAAGGTTGCTTTTGAATGCACTATCAGTTGTTAAAGCCACCGTTTCTTTTTCAGATGATTACATTTTTGTCTCTTGCTCTTTGGTTTCAGACATTACACGATGATCTACTGTCTGGAAAGATCCGCTCCAACAGAATGTTCCTTTGGAGGAATCCCGCCACCTCACTCCGACTAAAGCAGCACCTCAAGATAAGGACATTAAGTTGGAGTGAGCAGCGCGTAAGTAAAAATGCCATCCATCATGAGTATTTTTACTCTCAGGGGTGTAACATTTGAAAGGTGTTTACTTTGTGTGTTTTTCTTCAATAGATGTTCGAGCTCCTGCGGTTCATTGAGGAGGCAACAACCATTTCTAAAAAAATAAAGAGAGGCGAGATTCATCTGCTTGATTTCGTTTTTGATGTCATGCTCCCAGAGGTGAGTAGATCAAACTATATAGCTTGCTTTGAAAATTGATGATATTGTTAAGAGGTTGTTCTTATTCATTTGGAAAGCTCAAGAACAACAATTAACCCATACTGCATAACTTCAATTGTTCACATTATTTGACTGTTTTTCAGCTTTTGATCAAAGCACTGAAGGAGCATGGCATCAACCGGTTCAGAGCAGAGCTGATGATGGCCTGTGGCAACGTGTTTTAAGCCCCCCACCACACCGACGGCAGTGCTCTGAATTTTGTATACATATATATATTTTTTACTGTTCACAATTTTGTTTGGAAAACATTAAAGAAATCTTCAAAGCAGTTGTATGACAATTTCCCATTTCTTTACACAGTCTGTAATGATATCGCTATTCAATTGTTTTTGCTATATGGCTCTTCTGAACCTTAAAGAGATCATGTGACTTGTGTCTCTACAACTATTGTATACTTGGATTTTGCACAGTCAAGCAATCCTGAAGAGGTTCACCAGGAAGCACACCATTTCATAAATTATGTCCCTGGTTACACAATGTTACTAAAGGATGGGGGGAAAAATATGTGCAGCAACATAAGCACTCTCATAAAACATAATTATGAACAACAGAAAATATGTGAGGGTCAGGGCAACATTGTTGACATTAAACGAGGTCCTAATAGGAGTGGAGAAACAAGGTCACAGAGAAGTTAAGAAACATTGATGTGCTGTGTAATAAAGCTATTGGAGAGAAAAGTTAGAAAACACTCTTATATGATGTGTAACGAGAGGTTAAAACAGTCCATACTTGTAGCAAACTCTTACAAAAGAATTTGAGTAAGATGATAACTTCTACATACATTTACCTATTCTGACAAATTATCAGAATATGAGGACATCAGGCTATATATACATATTACTGTAAACTTCAGAATTAAATCAGAACAAAACAGTAGTCATAATTGATACATAAACGTTTTATTTTGCTCAATAATAAATTTAATTCGATTCTTATGGAATGAACGGAGCAAAAAAAAAAAGGATCCGGCGACTAAATCCGACTACCTGAAGTATTTCGGCGCCGGAAGTCCGCCAACGAGAAAGCCTATCCACCGGAAGTAATTGTTTTGGGTCCGCCAATCGGAGGTGATGCGGAAATGTATTGCGTTTTGTTATTGCGTTTTTTCATCTTTGGGTCCGCCATCTTTGCGCTGCAGCTGTCTTCCTCTCCAGAGCGGTGAAATAGTAATTAGTGTACGTGAAAATATAAAACGTCCTAAACTCTGTCCACCACACATCCGAGCAGAGACATAATTGATCAGACCTTCAGGAAATATTTCTTACCTTCACTCTGGAGTCTAAAACAATCAGCATTATCAGTCATCCAGCTCCAGTAGTTTAATAATCCACCGTTATTATTTACATCCTGTTTCTCGCGGTCAGCGCGTTTCATCCATTTGCATTGTGTGAAAAAAAGTTTTTGCTCGCTTTAGCTTCAGGTGTCCTGATAGAGACTGACAGCAGGAGCATCTCTGGACTTGTTCCTGAGTCCTGACCACAGGTCCAGACAGGCCGTGACTGACTCACCGCACCCGAACCGAGATGCGTTCTGTGTCCCGGTGGAAGAAGACCGGGAAATAAACGACTTAGCTGGCCGACCAGAAACAGCGCTAAAAACTTTAATTTTTCACACGAATGGATGAGACACTGACCGCAAGGTTGTAAACGGAATTTAAACAGGATGTAAACGGGAATTATAATTTCAGCAGCAAATGATAAAAATGCAACCTTTTTTTTCTTTCTTAAGTTGTAAAATTGGTTGGAGCAGCCTGGCACAAAATAAAAATACCCCTCCTCTAGTGAGTTTACTCGTCTTTGGCTCTCATTCGCCATTTCAGCCATCCTAATCTGTTCTCATTCAATCAATCTCAATTCAGTCAATACACAGGCTACACAACCCATTACATAACGCTAAGTGGCACTGCTTTATGGTTCCCCACAGTGTCGCCAAAGTGGAACTTCTGTCACAGTTTTCTAGAAATGTATTACATTTTGAGAGTCATGAATATAGTGATTTGTGAAGTCGAGAGGCATTCTTAAAAAATAATGATAACTTGGGTCAGTGTTTCATGTCCTCTTTAAGTAGGTTTATGGAGAGTGTTTTCAGGGTTATGTCAAGGTAACTTAAACTGCTTTCACAAAGGTTGAGGAAGCGTTCTTAAAGGTGGGTGAGGCAGGATTCTGTTAAAGAAGCATCTTTTTTGTGGTGTATATACAAAAAAGCTTTTAATATCAGCCAATAGCTATTAGTTATTGATGACATTTGGTTGTATAATGATATCGCTGTGTTTTGTTATGTCTGTGTCGTCAACATTTTAAAATTTTAGAGTGCTCCGCCTCTGCTCTTTCTGACTGTAAACAAAGCCATTCCCCGCCTCCCCCATCCTGATTGGTTGTGAGGCAGACGCTGCTCCCCCGTGTCGTTCAGGAGCCCAAACAAAGTCAGCGTGCTACAATATCAGACAGTAGAAACCAACCAGAAAATACAGAAAATCATCTGAATCCTCCTTTGGCCCTGCTGCCAACACAAGAACTGCCAACAAGAAAATGAACTAAATACCGGGGACTCTGGCGGCATTTATGGGATCTTACGGACCCTGTAACCTTGCTGCTGGACAGGTAAACCGCTTTAATAAAGTAAGCTAAGTGTCACAGAAGTATTTCTTGTCAAACGGGACCTGCTGCGTGTTGTAGCGCTACTAAGCTGTTGACCTCAGGTCCTGGAATATGTCATTTTATCCTAGTTTTAGAAGTCCTGCAAACATTGTGTTTGCTAGTAGTCTGTTGGCATCTACAGTAGCAACAATGCTTTTTACTTTCACATTGACCAGGCTCCATTTGTAATTATCTGAAGTATTTATCTGCATTATATCTGAATTTAATTGGAACGATACGAGCGAGCAGTAGTGTCTGTTTGTGGGCAGGGCTTGCTGGAGCGGAGAGGGGTGAGCAGGAGCTGAGGGGAAAACTGGTTGGAGTAGTGTTTACATTCAAGATTTCTCCCTAAAACTGGCACTTCCTCAGATCCTGCCTACCCCACCTTTAACTGACATGTTAGTTTTGTTTTACATTTTCAACATCACTGGATCCTTTTTTTTTCGAACTTGAGTTGATTTACTTTTTGGATTCACAGCTTTACAAGACATTTAAAAATGTCTAGAGCCATTCTAGCTGAAAAGACATTGAAAAATGTCTTCTGTCACAGGATCATCACACGTTCACACCCATTAATGCCAATTTTCAAGCCCTGGGTCATTCAAATAATGGCAAAAAATTTGGCAATAGTGAACAGCAGGATAACAGTCACCATCCAAAAGCATATGCATGACCTGGATTACCTTCCCTTGGTGGGACGTGAGCCCATACCACAAGGCAAAGTAAAAGTGGATTGTGAATGTGAGAGGCAAAAAAGCTTTACTGGTCCATCTATGTTTTAACCATCGCCTACAGTCATGCGCTGTGGGTAATGACAGAAAGAATAAGATCTTCGATACAAGCAGCTAAAATGAGTTTCCCTTTGCAAGGTGGCTGCTCAGCTTTAGAAAAAGAGTCCTATGCTTGTACATTCAAGGGGAGCTTGGAGTAGAGCTGCTTCTCCTTTCATTTAGAAGTTAAGGTGGATCTGGTTTCTTATAAGGATGCCTTTAAGGGACCTCCTCTGGCAGCAGTATATTAGGGATATTTCACGTTCATTAAAAGACAGACGCTTTTAACAAAGCAGAGACCTCGAACATCCTGGAGGGATGAAACATCCAATCAGAATACGAAGCCTGCTTTCTTTTAGAGGAGGAATGGATGGATGGATGGATAGATGGATGGATAGATAGACTTTGAACAAACTTTATTTATGAGACATTCTGACATTCTTTACAAACAAATTACATTTTAATAAGACATGATTAAATACCAACACACACTCACACTCACTCACTCACACACTCACACACACACACACACACACACACACACACACACACACACACACACACACACACACACACACACACACACACACACACACACACACACACACACTTAAACCTAGTCCTTTAGAAGTCAATCACTAAGGAGCCATTCTTCTCCAGTGAGCATAGAACCTGTCTGACAGCCCACACATCCCTAAAACCATCTAAATTATTTGTCAGTTTATAGAACGTGTATTCAAGTCTGAGACGGCCTGTTACCAAACCCTTCAGACAACAGACCGGGTCAGTCCAGCCCACTCCAAGAACTTTGTTTTTACTGCTCTTCCCATTAGCTAGAGGTGCCAGTTGAGCGAGGCACAGATCAGGGGGTGTCAGAGGGAACAGTTGTTTGTCGAGACCGAGTCGCCCAGCCTAATCGGAGCAGCAGCCGAGCAACAGCCAACCAGCAGAAAGAGCGTCTGTACAGCAGTTGCTGAGTTGCCTGAAGCCTGAAAGCAGCAGTCCTTGAGGCAATGTCTATCAAGCCCTGCCGTCCCTCTGCCACAGGAAGGTACAGGACTGATGCTCATAGCCAGTGATGACCTGACCAGAAAAAGTCCACCAGGAGCTGCTGCAGCTGTCCCACGAGACTCAGTGGGTTTGCTACTTGGAGTCTGTGCCACAGAGACGAGGCAACCAGATTATTGACGATCAAAGCTCTTCATCCTGTAGGACATCTGAGGTAGCAGCCATTTCCATTTAGATACATTGGCTTTTACCTTTTCCAGCACTCCCTCCCAGTTTTTTGCAGTCATTTCCTCACTCCCCAAATACACTCCCAAGACCTTTAGCCCTCTGCTGCCCCACCTAAGGCCACCAGGAAGACTAGGGGTACTCCCTGTACTCCAGTGGCCGGCTAAACACGCCTTGCTTTTTTGCCAATTTACTTCGGCTGATGCAGCCTTCTCAGAAAGAAACAGGAAATGCCCTTTAGGTTCCTGGATGTCCCCTTGGGCCTGGACAAAAACATTTACAAAAACACATCAGCGTAAGCTGACACTACTAAACGCTGGCTCTGAGCTGGTTCAGGCAGACACAAGCCCCTCAAACGCCTCCTGAGCCTACAAAGAAGAGGCTGAATGGCCACACTATACAGCTGCCCAGAGAGAGGGCAGCCCTGCCTGATATCTCTCTCCACTGGTACAGGACTGCTTAGCCTACCGCCCACTTTAACGACACAACATGCAATGCTGTACAATAACTTCACCCAGGACAGGAAGTGCTCCCTAACACCAAAAGTCTGCAGTGTGGAAAATAGAGAGGAGTGATCAACACAATCAAAGGCTTTCTCCTGGTCAATAGAAACTATTCCTGTCTTCAAATTGTATCTGTCTGTCAGGGATGCAATAAGACTGATCAACACCAATAAATACATTCATAAAACCTTCAGTCTGTTAGCTAAAACCTGTTCTGCTTGGCTCATCTGTGGAAGGTCCTGTAGGAGCTCAGCTGCAGCCTCCACATCACAGTGTTCAGCCCGAAACAGCTCAGAGTAAAAGGACACTGCATGCTTCCTCATCTCAGCAGGGTGTGATGTTAACCCCTCATCAGGCAGACGGAGACACACCATTTGTTTTCGCTAGCTTTCTGACTTCTCCAAGCTAAAGAAGAAGGTAGTCAGTGCGTCAATGTCCCTGATGGTGGTGAAGCGGGCTCTAACTAGGGCTCCTTTAGCTTTCTCCAGGAGTAAAGAGTTTAGCTTCTGCTTTCTATACAGCAACTGTTCAGGGTTCTCCACAGGCACACACTCCAGCTCCCTGATCTCTGCTTCCAGCTGTTCCATGGCCATTTGGACATTTGCAGTGGAGTAGGAGGTGTACAGTTGGCAGAGAACTCTGATCTGTCCCTTTCCTACCCCCCACCACTGACTCAGAGAGGAGAAATCCTCTTTCTTTGACCTCCATTGAGCTCAAAACAGTTTAAAATTATTACAAAAGGTAAAATCATGCAAAAGTTTAATGTTAAAATGCCAGAATGACCTGGGCCTTCCAGGAGAGGTTAAAACCATTTCCGATAAAACCAAGTAATGGTCTGTGAAACCAACAGAATGGATCTGACTCTTCGCTGCACGAGTGATAGATAGATAGATAGATAGATAGATAGATAGATAGATAGATAGATAGATAGATAGATAGATAGATAGATAGATGGAAGGATGGCTGATTGGATGAATAGATGGTTGTATCGATCTTAAAAAACACCCCCTTTGTGATCTCTCTAGACCTTTTTTATGACATGGCACAGACTTTGAAGGGCAGTTGTTGTGACAAAGAAAATGAAACACATCTCTGCACTTCAGTCAGTCTATCTGCTTCACAGTTAGTCATTTCTGTCTTCTTTTTACCTGTGAAACCAACAAGCTGTTGAAACTTCAAGATGACATAATATTTTGAGACAGTTGTATGTGATAACCATAGTTGCAGTGGTCCAAAAGCAGTTGAGGTTCAGTTTAAAACTCACAGACCTACACTCAATGTTTCAGCCTACTGTCATTCTTGAAATTGTGTTTAGTTCTCATTGGGTAACTGATGCTGTCACTTACCCAACTGCTACTCAGACCACTAAAAGATTGAGGAATGTTTTCATTTCTTGAGGGTTTCATGTGTTAGTCAGTCAGTCTGAAGTGTTTTCTTTTTTAGTGTGTGTGTTCCAAAAACAAAGCCAACCTGTAATGACAGTAAAGTCAGAACAAACGAGACTAAATCAGGCCCTAAGAGCTGTCCCCTGTTACAGGCTTACTGTCTTACAATAAATGCTGATAAAACACTAAAAGTGAATCCTGTTTTTGCTTTACGTGGGCACCTTACCTTTGTCAGGATTGGGTTCAGGCAGGCCTATTTGAACTCTGGTTTCCATTGTCAGTTTACTATGATTAGCAGCAGTTAGGTTATGAACGGTATAATTCAGGAACAATACAATTTTGCCCATTTGTTACTGGCTGAAACATCTGCACCTTCAAGATTCAAAAAGAAATAAGAAAAAGGAACAACAGCAGTGGTTTTTCAGGAGCACAGTACGACAGCTGCTGAGACTAAACTGGCTTCAGGCAACGCTTGGGGAAAAAGTAAAACTAAAAGTTGGTTCTCTTAGGAGTTGGTTAGAGGACTGCATCTGTACAAATGTCCTGAATCCAAAGTGGTGACTAAATTCAAACTGATGTAATGCTCAGAGTCGAGTCTTTAAGTGTAACATTAATGCTCAACAGTCTTCTGACGCCTTGAATCAAAAGAATCAAATGCTCTGAACTCAAACAAGTATAAAAGTTATCTGAAGGCATTACCTTCTTTATAAAGTAATTAAAATGCGGAGATTTTGGCATATCAAATGTGTGTAGCCTCTATGTTACATTGTATTCAGCCACAGCTGAATGAATGTAGGGGAAACATTGATATTTATATAGTACTAGTCTTCTGACCACTCAAGGCTCTTTACATCACATGTCAATTTATCCATTCACACCCTAAAACCCCCACCTCATGATTGGGAGAAAACCGACTCTACCACTGAGCCACAGCAACCCCTTGTGCTGCAACAACTTACCTGAGCTTGTGCACGTTTGTCCTTAACACACAGGACAGATCAATCACCAGACCTGATATCAAAATTTGCTCCTCAGTACCTCAGTGAGGAAAACCCCCTGACAGATCACTTTCCTTTATAAAACACTGCACACCAGCTCCCACTTTCCTTTCTGATCCAAACTACGAAACAGGGGAAACCACAAGGATACAGATGAGCTCTAACAGCTGAAATCTTTGACCATTTCTGTTAAGAAGTCAATTTTTTTCAAAACTGGTGAACACCAAATACAAAAGAAATGACTACATTATAAGAGGTGGACAAATCTGGATGGGGCTAGTAAAGTCGGAGGTAACTTACTGTCCGGCCTGACAGAGAGATTTGTGTTCTCTCTGTCAGTGTGTGCCCAGCCATGAGACATGAAGTATCCAATTGATTCCAGTCCTTGTTGGCTGAAAGAGAGGACAGGAGCATTTTAGATCAGGTCTTTCTTTTCTGACTATAAGCATTCAAATGAAAAGTAACATTTCACATTCATAGCACAGTGTCCCAAAGTGCACATTTAATAATACATTTACAATTGGTTTACTGTTTACAAATTCAATATGTCATTTAACTATAGCGTTAAGGAAACTCATCACACTCATAACATCACTTACGGCAGAAACCTTGTACCTCTATGTTTTATCATTAATTTTTTTTGCATTAATCAATACTATTGATCATTACTATTGATACATTTTCTGACATGTGACAAATAAAGATTATTTTGAAAAGGTTGTGGTTGAATATTATTCAGTGTTCAGTTATTTGAAAAACAGAAGTTGTTTTGTATTTGCTTTTCCATCCTGGAGACAGGGTTCTTGGAGATACACAGTTTCTGCCAGTTGACCACTGAGGTAACAGTATAGGCTTTTTTCCAAATGCTAAATGAGAGTCAACAGAAGCCACTACAAGTTTTGTCTCTGTTAATCTGCAACAGTCTCTCTAGAACAACCTGATATCTAGTTCCAAAGCTGCCAAAGCCGAGTCTTATTTCCAGCTTGTCTGCTTGATGGTGGAATGATCAATTCCCAGTATTGATCATTTTTCATTGTACAGTGTTGAATATGAAATTATAACTGAAGCACTCACCAGTATGCTCAGCTCTCTCCTCTCTCCTCCATTCTCCCCCTCTCTCTCCTTCCTCGCCCTCTCTCTCTCTCTTTCTCTCTCTCTTTGTAAAACATAAGCAGGGGTAACTTCATAGGATTTTCTGGTAAAAGGCCTCGTCACTTTGTCATTTCACATTTACATTGTCCTGCCAAAAGAGGGATACATTCAGTCAATTATCGTTATGAGTGAATTCACCTCAATCACAGAGGAACAAGAAAGACTAGGACCCCGGTGGGGCACTGTCGGGCCCGAGCCGCGTTGCGCCGCCCCCAGCGCGACCGCCTCCCCCTCCCGATCGCGTCACACTCAAGGTCCAAAGATGGTGTGCGCACTTGTCTGTGGTCATTTCCCATTATAATGAATGGGAGGCGCAGTTTCTACCAAAACACTCGCTGCAGACAAACTACATGTCCTATTTGAAAAAAGTCTGGACCATGAGTGAGGGCACAAACACAGCTAGGATATATCCAAACGGCAAGTTGCTCCTCGTTACAGTGTTGCCGGGAGAGTGATGCGATTGAGCCATTGAGTGATGGGCAGGAAAAACTTGACTGTTTCTCCTGCCATGGGGGATGGGGGATGGGGGGGGGATGTGGATTCTTTTAAGAATGTGGATATTTGGGTCATCTTTGGCGCCCCCTAGAACGTAAACCGTGAGGTGCAGCGTCATGATTTTTACAACTTTGAATGGCCATGGGGTGTAGATTGGCCTGAGCAAATTTGGTGTCAGTGGGACGAAAGCCTTAGGAGGAGTTAGCCACATTCCAATGTGTGCGAATCGGCAAAAAATGCAAAATAGCCCTTTAACCGTACATTTTACAGATACGCGCGCATTGACTTTTTCGTAGATCTTATTGAGATACATGTGATTGTCAAATTTTGTGTCAATATGACAAAGCGTACAGGTATGACAGTCAACAATGTGTTTTTTCACCTTATGGGACAAGAAAAAATGGACTTTTTTCTCCTGCCATGGAGGGGCGCTCTTTTGGGGAGTAAAAATTCCTTCACAAATGTGTTGATGGCTGGACATTGCATCATCCTAGAAAACTTGGAGGCCAGTGAGGACAAAAATAAAAAGTTATAAGACTTTTAAATATGTGGATTTTAGGGTTATCTTTGGCGCCCCCTAGAACCTAAACCTTGGGGTGCAGCGTCATGATTTTGATAAATTTTACTGGCCACGGGGTGTAGATTGGCCTGAGCAAATGTGGTGCCGGTGGAACGAAAGCCTTCGGAGGAGTTAGCGAAATTCCAATGTGTGCGAATCTGCAAAAAATGCGAAATAACCCTTTAACCGTACATTTGACAGATACGTGGCCATTGACTTTTTTGAAGATCTTATTGAAAGACACGTGTATGTAAAATTTTGTGTCAATACGACAAAACATACAGGCGTAGCACTCAACAATGTGTATTTTCACCTTAGTGGACAAGAAAAAATGGACTTTTTTCTCCTGCCATGGGGGGGCGCTCTTTTGGCGAGTAAAAATTCCTTCACAAATGTGTTGATGGCTGGACATTGCATCATCCTAGAAAACTTGGAGGCCAGTGGGGACAAAAATAAAAAGTTATAAGACTTTTAAATATGTGGATTTTACGGTTATCTTTGGCGCCCCCTAGAACCTAAACCGTGGGGTGCAGCGTCATGATTTGAATAACTTTTAATGGCCATGGGGTGTAGATTGGCCAGAGCAAATGTGGTGCCGGTGGAACGAAAGCCTTCGGAGGAGTTAGCGAAATTCCAATGTGTGCGGATCGGCAAAAAATGCGGAATAACCCTTTAACCGTACATTTGACAGATACGCGCGCTATGACTTTTTCGTAGATCTTATTGAGATACATGTGTGTGTCAATTTTTGTGTCATTTTGCCAAAGCATACAGGTGTTACACTCAACAATGTGTATTTTCACCTTAGGGGACAAGAAAAAATGGACTTTTTTCTCCTGCCATGGGGGGCGCTCTTTTGGGGAGTAAAAATTCCTTCACAAATGTGTTGATGGCTGGACATTGCATCATCCTAGAAAACTTGGAGGCCAGTGAGGGCAAAAATAAAAAGTTATAAGACTTTTAAATATGTGGATTTTACGGTTATCTTTGGCGCCCCCTAGAACCTAAACCGTGGGGTGCAGCGTCATGATTTGAATAACTTTTAATGGCCATGGGGTGTAGATTGGCCTGAGCAAATGTGGTGCCGGTGGAACGAAAGCCTTCGGAGGAGTTAGCGAAATTCCAATGTGTGCGGATCGGCAAAAAATGCGAAATAGCCCTTTAACCGTACATTTGACAGATACGCCCGCACTGACTTTTTTGTAGATCTTATTGAGATACATACGTGTGTCAATTTTTGTGTCAATATGACAAAGCGTACAGGCGTGACAGTCAATAGTGTGAATTTTCACCTTAGGGGGCGCTATGGAGCCATTTTGCATTTTCTTGTTTGGGCGACTTCGGAATATCAAATTTTTCACCAGGCCCGGTCGTCCTGCCAAATTTCATGAGTTTTCGCCAGTGGGAAGTGGGCCATTTTCCAGTTCAAAGGGGAGGAAAAATAATAATAATAACAAACTAGGGCCCCGTTGGGGCACTGGCGGGCCCGAGCCGTGTCACGCCGCCCCCAGCGCGACGGCCTCCCCCACCCGATCGCGTCACACTCAAGGTCCAAAGATGGTGTGCGCACTTGTTTGTGGTCATTTACCATTATAATGAACGGGAGGCGCAGTTTCTACCAAAACGCTCGCTGCAGAAAAACTCCATGTCCTATTTGAAAAAAGTCTGGACCATGAGTGAGGGCACAAACACAGCTAAGATATATCCAAATGGCAAGTTGCTCCTCCTTTCGCTTTTGCCGAGAGAGCAGTGCGTTTGAGCCATTGAATGATGAACAGGAAAAACTTGACTTTATTCTCCTGCCATGGGGGGGCGCTCTTTTAAAGAGAAAAAACTCCTTCACAAATGTGTTGATGGCTGGACATTGCATCATCCTAGAAAACATGGAGGCCAGTGAGGGCAAAAATAAAAAGTTATAAGACTTTTAAATATGTGGATCTTAGGGTTATCTTTGGCGCCCCCTAGAACCTAAACCGTGGGGTGCAGCGTCATGATTTGAATAACTTTTAATGGCCATGGGGTGTAGATTGGCCTGAGCAAATGTGGTGCCGGTGGAACGAAAGCCTTCGGAGGAATTAGCGAAATTCCAATGTGTGCGAATCTGCAAAAAATGCGAAATAACCCTTTAACCGTACATTTTACAGATACGTGGCCATTGACTTTTTCGAAGATCTTATGTAAATACACGTGTATGTAAAATTTTGTGTCAATACGACAAAACATACAGGCGTAGCACTCAACAATGTGTATTTTCACCTTAGTGGACAAGAAAAAATTGACTTTTTTCTCCTGCCATGGGGGGGCGCTCTTTTGCCGAGTAAAAATTCCTTCACAAATGTGTTGATGGCTGGACATTGCATCATCCTAGAAAACTTGGAGGCCAGTGGGGACAAAAATAAAAAGTTATAAGACTTTTAAATATGTGGATTTTACGGTTATCTTTGGCTCCCCCTAGAACCTAAACCGTGGGGTGCAGCGTCATGATTTGAATAACTTTTAATGGCCATGGGGTGTAGATTGGCCTGAGCAAATGTGGTGCCGGTGGAACGAAAGCCTTCGGAGGAGTTAGCGAAATTCCAATGTGTGCGGATCGGCAAAAAATGCGGAATAACCCTTTAACCGTACATTTGACAGATACGCGCGCATTGACTTTTTCGTAGATCTTATTGAGATACATGTGTGTGTCAATTTTTGTGTCATTTTGCCAAAGCGTACAGGTGTTACACTCAACAATGTGTATTTTCACCTTAGGGGACAAGAAAAAATGGACTTTTTTCTCCTGCCATGGGGGGGCGCTCTTTTGGGGAGTAAAAATTCCTTCACAAATGTGTTGATGGCTGGACATTGCATCATCCTAGAAAACTTGGAGGCCAGTGAGGGCAAAAATAAAAAGTTATAAGACTTTTAAATATGTGGATCTTAGGGTTATCTTTGGCGCCCCCTAGAACCTAAACCGTGGGGTGCAGCGTCATGATTTGAATAACTTTTAATGGCCATGGGGTGTAGATTGGCCTGAGCAAATGTGGTGCCGGTGGAACGAAAGCCTTCGGAGGAGTTAGCGAAATTCCAATGTGTGCGGATCGGCAAAAAATGCGAAATAACCCTTTAACCGTACATTTGACAGATACGCCCGCACTGACTTTTTTGTAGATCTTATTGAGATACATGTGTGTGTCAATTTTTGTGTCATTTTGACAAAGCGTACCGGCCTGACAGTGAATAGTGTGAATTTTCACCTTAGGGGGCGCTATGGAGCCATTTTGCATTTTCTTGTTTGGGCGACTTCGGAATATCAAATTTTTCACCAGGCCCGGTCGTCCTGCCAAATTTCATGAGTTTTCGCCAGTGGGAAGTGGGCCATTTTCCAGTTCAAAGGGGAGGAAAAATAACTAGGACCCCGTTGGGGCACTGGCGGGCCCGAGCTGTGTCGCGTCCCCCCCCAACGCGCTGCCTCCCCGTCCCATTTGTGTCCTCTGGCCATCGCCCTCTCTGGTAACGCCCATCACTGCAAAGACCCTTTTCCTTCATCGGCGTTTGCTGTTCTTCCTGCCAGTGCGTGTTGCTTTCACTTACACTTGCCACAGCCAGCCTCTTGAGTGCCTAGCCTATTGGATATCACTGTCACCTACTCAGGACAGTCATTACCTTTCTATTAATACTTTGTTTTTTAATTTCACATTAATTTCCATATTGTATAAACAACTGGAAAAAACTTGAGCCCCTGCCCCTGTATAATCATGTGCACATCTCTGTTCTAGCTCTAAGGTGAATCTTCACTGCTCATGTTCTCCTCAGAAGCAGTCACCTCACTCCCCTCAGGTTACTGTACACATGCACCAACTGCCTGCTTCAGGTTTGGATGGAGCTTCATGGTTGTCTTTTGGAGAAATGACCAGTCAAGTTGTGTTTGAAATTTGAATTTTTTCAGGGGCAAAAGGAGCCTCTGCATTCTTGTCAAATATGTAAATAGCATGTTTTTGCAGGTGCTAAAAACCAGACTCTGAGTGTGTGTGTGTGCGTGTGTGTGTGTGTCTGTGTGTGTGTGTGTGTGTGTGTGTGTGTGCGTTCAAGTCACATGACATATTTAACCGGATGTAGGTGCAAGACGGAGCCTCGTTGACTCCGTTTCAACTTATCTCAAAAGTGAGGACCTCAACCTATATACCAGTTTTTAAATTGTGTTGATAGGCCAAATAAAACCAGAGTTATGATAAATTATGTCCGCGATACTTGTTTTCTGCTTATTTTGATCACGTTCGGCGCTCGATCGCGCTGTATGAGACAGGAAAACATAGCATGCAGACATTAGCGACAGGTCTTACAGGCGGAAAAGGCTTGCCAAAAGAAAAAAAAAACACACCACAACATCTCTCCTATTGGTGGAAAACTTCACCACAACAACCAATCCAAAATTATATGGTGACTGATTGACAAGGGGCGGGCGCTTACGTTCTTCCTGCAATATGAGAAGGGAGGGAGGGACTCTCAGCAGGGATGCAGTCTGGGACACGTAGTTGCAAACCTAGCGACTTTGTTGTTAGATTCAATGACTTTTCAGACCCCCTAACGACTTTTTTTTTAGATAGAAAGTGACTTTTATCGACTTCTTCTGGAGTTTAGAGACTCTGACATGAAGCAGGCTTTCCTTACTGAGGAGTTAGCAACGCTGCTAAGGGTGCAGAGCCACACATGCGCTCAGAGCTCTGCATGGGAGACTGAAGCTGACAGAGCTGCAGCAGTTAGCAGGTTTCACCCTCAGAGACCACCAGGGGTTCATGTTGAGGCATTTTCAGTTTTTTTTTTTTTTTTGCCATAGACACTGTCAGCACAATCTGCAGTTACACTAACAAAAATGCTGCAAAAAACAAAGAATTATGGAAAAATTACACATGGACTAACATAGAGGAGGATATACACAAGTTTTTTACAT